TCAACCAACTTTCAGTGTCAAAACACCCTCCCAAACCATGTTTTATGAAGTTTTGAGCGTTTTTGGAAAAAATGTTTTTTTGACCTTTGACCTTTGACCGGCGACAGACATACATACACACAAACGCATTTCCGTTTTTTGACCACTTTTTTTCGACATGACCCTCCTTTCAGTCGAGGGAATAGTGGAGTGCAAAAGTGTTTGCCCTTTTAAAATAAGACTTCTCAAGCTGATATATGAAAAAATATTATATGACTAGTGCATATAGCGGATAAACATATATAGTAATAGTTACCTTAAACTTATGAAACAGCGCTGCTTGAAGGCACGTGGACGTAAGTCATAGATCGCAGCCGAAACGAAAACAAATCATAAAATAAAACATGTGGTAATTACACTATTTTGTATCTCTTTAACTACCGTGCTTATTCAACCATACTTCTATTTTCTCATACTATCAGAAAAAAGTAAGCAAATAACTTCGGGTATTTTGCATATGTAGCGATCAGTTGGATCATCTGGGAGTCATTGCAACTAACGTATAATCATTCTTGTTCGATGGATACCATCGATTTAGTTGGAATTTTTTACAGTAGATAAAGTTAACATAACCGGGAGTAGTGTAGAAATTTTAGGTCGAACGGATAAGCCGTTCTCGAGCCTAGGTTATATAAGTAAGTGAGGATAGCTTTTTTCGACCGTATCTGGATGTCAATCGTGATTCCCAACCTGTTCATATTCCATATCTGGAATGCTTGCTGGCATACCAGATAAGTACCAGTCAGAGATGTATGCTTTGATAAAAATCGACCACTGCCTATTATTATGTTTGCAAAGAACCACATTATAGCACATTAGAATAAGACATGACTTAGATACAAAATAGTTACTGGTAAGAAGAACACGAGGCAATCATATCATAAGTACACATTAGATTAGTTATAGGTAAGATAAAACACCTTGTTCTGTAAACCTTTCTTGAATACAAATCTTTTATGTTGTTAAAAGCCTTGAATGAGAAACAAAATGACGTTGTAACTTCAATTTATCATTTGGATTATTCCAAATAATATAAATCAGGGGTTGAAACGAGTAACCCGGCCCAACGTGTTGTTTTTTCTTTCACATTTTCTACAAAAAACTTGGCTACTTGTATTTGTTATCAAATTTATAATACCATACGAATTAGCTGACTTTTCGGAATCGGTCAGCAACATAATTACTCAAAGCATCCAAAAACGTTTTTTTGTACTGAAAAAAAAAAGTTTTTTTTTGGCAAATAGGAATTAAAATCTATCCAGTCAGGTTGACAATTGCGAACCTGCATTGGACTATTACCATCCATTCTTGAAATAGATGATAGTTCTGACCAATTTCTACATAACCATGAAACTTGACGCATTATTTTAAAATTTATTTTGCAAATTGATAGATCCTTAATCATTTATCTACCGATCCGAATCATAATGACATGAAAATTGAAAGGATAAAATAGAGAGGAACATAAAATGAATGTGCGCTGTTATAAAGAACCGATGCAGAAGTGAAGTCGGTAGTACGATGCGCATGGATTGTATCATTGATCCATTTTATGTAAGATGAAACACGTGTATAAACCCCGGGACTTTTCGGTAATGCACATCTATTACCATAACTAACAATACCGACTAATTCCCATTGTTTATTTGAATTAAACATTATTAGCGGACCACCAGAATCACCTTGACATGTATCTATAATAGATTTTATCAATAAGAACTTTGTTTTCATTGGTAAACTAACAGAATATAGCCTCAGCAAAAAAGTTCTCTACCTTTTCCTCCTTCAGGCATTCTTCCCGCACAAAATTGAATCTTTGAGTCTGTGACAATACTCTCACAGTATGACATTCCAGCAGCTACAGCTTGAATAGTAACCTGTTGTAAACTATCTGGAAACTGTCCACCGAATGATAGAGTACCCCAGCCTGCAGCGAGTAGAGATGTACCTGCTGGAGGATATTCTTTTATTGTAGAAGTCACATTTGGTAAACAGATTTTGGCTAGGTTAACATCAGATAGATTCAAAGGAGTGGTTAACTCTATCAAAGCAATGTCATTTCCTATTGTAGCTGCGGTATAGTTCGGATGTAAATAAACTCGAGATACTGTTTTCTTTATCCCATCGTGGTACTTTAGAGAACCGGCATAGATTGTTATACTTGATGAAAGAAAACCGGAATCGAAACAATGAGCAGCTGTTATTATAAAGGATTCGTGAATAATTGTGCCACCGCATAAATCATCACCCTGCGGAATTGCTACCGTCCATGATAATGTGTTAAAACGAGCATTTTCTCCGCCGACGATCCGAAGATCTTCATTTGTTTCAACAGGAAACTGCGAGCAACCGCAAGGCGCGTGAGAATCACAGGGATACGTGATCGAATAAATACTTTGGATCGACGAAAAAATGAAGAGAAGACAAAATAAATTAACTGTTGTCATCTAAAAGTAGAGATCTTATGTAATTACATATCATTCCCGAGATAGAAAGTTTTCATATGAAAAACATTGAATATTTATACAAAAAATCGAACAGACGCGCTGGAGTATGTTTACACCTAATATTCGCAAAGACAAGATACCCTGGCAGCTTTCTAACACCGAGTCATGTTAAGAAATTTATCGTTAATATAAGAAAGTCCACTTGTTTGCTCAAGTCCTTTCACCCTTTCTTCATATCAGTACTTTGTTCTTATGAAAATAGCTTTATCACAAGCAAATGTATCGAAAACGAGATAAATCATGAATCATCATTACAATCTAATGTTTGCAATACGAAATCTCTCGAGTAAATAAATCATCAACTGGAGTGTACTTTAATAAATATTTGGTTTCTGTTCGGTGCTTCATAGTTTTGAACATTCATAGACCAAGATGTGGGCATGAACTTTGACTCAGAGTCACTATGTTAGAGACACAAGAGGAAAAGCAGACCAAGAATTTTCGGATCCTGAAATGTCTTCAATTGGCGAAATACATGATAAATAAATCATTTACAGTAATATTCTGTTTGAATTTCCCATTCAAAGTCAGAGAAAGATATCAATTAGATTGTTTGATCGATGAATACCAGTCCATTGAGCAATCTAAACGATAATTCGATACGCATATTTTCATCAATCTAATAAAAATATTTTGAATTGATTATATAATGAAGATATATGTCACAGTTGACAGATACATAATAAATGATTAACTCATAATAATTTCTTATTTCGATTTATAGTTCAATTGAAAACAAAGATACGAAGTGAATAATATGATAGAGAAAAACATAATAAATGAATAATTTATACCAACGTTCTATTCAGATCTTTCGTTTGTTGCTACAGAAATATCTTCGATGAATTATGTGATAAAGAAACATACAGCGAAGAACTAATTAATACAACGGATAAGAGTATGAGGAGAAGACAATTTTAAAAAAAAAGAGTAAAACTATTCCAACACAATGTCCATCATGTCAGGAACTATTGACTGCCCAGCTGATACAAACATTGTATTTGATTACAAATAGGATCATTTGGCAGGGGACTCTCTTGTGTTTCTTTTACGCACGAAACACACGTCTTCTATTGGTTTGTCATTTGAATCGAAGTTAAATTCTCTAAACCCCTTTATGGGACATTCAAAATGTAGATTTCATAGATTTCTATAACTCGATGATCTCGAGCTTTCTAAAGCATGATAATGCATCTGTTCATGTATGAAAAGACTTCTGATTGCACGAAAAAAAGATGACATGCACAATGATGCAGAGCTCGTTTTCAGTGAAAAAACGTTGCGGAAGCACTTTTCACTCTCTAGTGTTCTGTAACTTTTGTAGTCTTCCAGAAACTTTGTCACCTGAATTCTTTAATATATTTCTACACTTGAGATTTTGCTCTTTCTAACAAAGAAAGTTCAAACTTCTATCACTTTCCGTTATCAAATTATACCAAAAGCAAAATTAATCCAAATCTTTTGCCCCGCCCGCAAATCGATGTTAAATCGATCATATGGAAAACATATCATGTAGCAAAAGAATAACTCATGCTAACATTCTACTCTTATTTTTCACTCTCTTCGTTTGAAAGAGTTCAGAATAATAATGCAGCTAAAAAATCATGAAAGAACTAAACAGTATAAAGAAACATATCTTAATAATTTGTCATTACTATGTTAATTGATCAGAGCTTTGATCATTGATGTAAATAAATGGAAAACGAATTACCAGTATTTGAACGTTTGTTCATAGTTTCTCGAAGGAGACTTTTCATGAGATATCGTCGGGCGTGTTCAAGGTCCATTTCTTCGGAAACTTGTTTCGTATATTGTGCATTACAATAGATTACCAAACATCTACAGAAAACAATCAAATAAAGAATTAATTCGATATTAGCCATCTTGTATTTGTTTGTATCACAATCAATCGAAATATGTTGTTTAGAAAGAATAAATTATATTTTGATTTTACTTGAATATATACCTGCTTTTCTATAATCACCATGCGAGTTGGGAAATAAAGAGAAAAAAAATGTAATTTCACATAACGATAGTAATGTGTATTTTTCTCTGTTATCAATATATTACATTATTATTTGGAATGAAGAAAAAAGTTAATTAAGGTAACTTGTACGGATATATATTTTTTTCATTACTTTCTTCGTTTGATATTCCTATTATTATATTCGAAGAGTAGCGGATCCGAGTCGATCCGTTCCTCTCTAATTATATTCCTTCGTGTTCTCTGAGTTCTAAATAGTTTCGTATCTTCCTATTTGTAAGTGCTCGATAAGTCAAACCAAATTACCGCTAAGAATATCTCCTTTTAAGAATAAAATAGATAATGAATTATTATGTTTTATTAGATTTTTATAAAAAAAAGTAATTGACTTTTGAATTTAATTTTGAACTATGATGAACACTTTGTGAATCTTATTAAGCTGATGACAATTTTCAACTATTCGTATACTTCTTAGTCATATACCTTTTTATATATGCCGTATCGAAGTAGCTACTTCAACAAGAGAAAAATGTCGAATTTATCATTTCGAAAGAATGATTTATTTAAATTAATTCTCCGATAGAATCATTGCTTTTCTCACTGCTCCAAATAAAACGTAATTAATAAAAGATCACAATGAGCATGAGATATTCATTTCCAACTCTGCAATAAAAAGGTGTCATTCACATATATTTTACCACATTCGTTTATCAATGATCTTCGCTAAAATGGCTGCTTTATCTATTAATTGCACCCAACCTCGTAAAAGTATCATTTCACAGATAACTTTCATCAGTCGTCCAGCATTCTGACCAATATAAATCATATCTTTCATTAATGTGTAACAATCAACTTGTAATTGTGAAATATGTGATTGTAAAAGAACATTAATTTTTGTACTAGATTCATCAATACTTTCTCCAACAGATATACGAACACATTTGAATAATTTTCGTAATTCAACTTTTTCTTCTTCTCGTACAATTATATGTTGAAATTCAAATGATAGAGAAAGTATACGAAATAAATCAATTTCATTCACTGTAGGTTTTAATAATTGATTAAATATCGCAATTGTTTTATGCGAACAATAATAATAACTGGCAATACGAGCATATTCAGTCATTTGAAAATGACCATTTTGACGATTATAATGAATAAGATGAGATTTATCTAATTCAATTGCAGCGGAATGTATTAAATCCAAACGTTGTTGAAGAAGATTTTTATCGATTAGTGAAGATGTATTGAGAATACCGTATAATTCCGGTTGTTTTATCATTCGAACATATAAATAAGTATGACAAAGCCATTCAGCACCTTCATGAAGATTTTCAATTGTACCAAGAACAATTTCTGCATTGAGATGATCAATTAATTTCGAAATCATTTGACTTTCAACTGAAAATCGCTCGTTCATTGATGATAAATAATAATCTAATTGATTATGATTTGTTATTAAAATACTTTCTGAACGAATATCATAACATGGACGACAAAAGCAACCTGCATAACCAAGCATTGCCATAACATCAAGAGTATTTAACTCTGTCCATTCACCTTCTATTGCACTATAGACTTGCGTGCCTTTAACAATAACTACATGTGCAGGAAGCTGAATAAATCTGTTAAATGTTATTGTCTGTACAAGTACTTGAATGTGTCGATCGCAGAAAAGATCTTCAACTAATGCTCGATCAGGTCGATTCAATCCAGTATGAAGAACAGCAAATGAATAGGGAAGAAGATCTTTTAATTCAGAATTGTTTGTTTGTTCACCTTCAGTTTGTAGAAGTTCTTGTGACGCTGAACTTTCTTTTATGAATGTACCAATTGTACCTCTTTCTAAACATGTATCTCGAATAGCTCGAGCAGTTCTTACTGTTTCTTTTTCCGAATGAACGAAAATGAGAACTTGATTTTTTCCTGCATGTTCCATAACCTTCTCATAAACGAGCTCATTCATAATTTCAAATTGTTTAATCGATTTTTTTTCTGTAATACCAACATATTGTTGTTTGAGTGGAGCAACGCGAAAATTATTTTCAAAATAAAATAAATCGTCGCGTTTAATATTTAAAAATGTAGCAATGTCTTCATAATTTGATAATGAAACACCTAAACCAACTAAACGAATAGTTTCTCGTGTTGTTTTAATCGTACGAATAGTTCGTGCAATGATTGCCTCAAGAATTGGACCATAATCAGAATGTAAAAGATGTATTCCATGAAAAATAATCAAGCGGATTAAATGAATAAATGAACGTTCATCACCTCTACGAGTAATTTTATCCCATTGATCAGGTGTACAAATGATTATTTGATTTTTATTGATTTGTTCTCGAGATAATTGAGGATCACTTGATAATTTCGTTACTTTTAGTTCATATGAACTGAAACGCTAAAGAAGAAAGAAATGCACGGGATCCTTTTTTGTACAAAGAAAAATGAACATACTTTTGCAAAATTATCAACAAATCTGTCAAGAGCACATGTTCTTGATATGACATAAATTATTTTAAATTTATCAATATTGATTTTTCCATCTGCCATTATATGTTTACCAATTTCACGTAAAATACAAAGTACAGCAACATTTGTTTTACCAGAAAACTAAAAATATTCAATCGATAGAAAATTCTTTAGATCGAATATACGAAAACTTACGTTTGGAGCAAATAGTAAAATATTTTCATCACTTTCCATTGTTACTTTAAGCAGACGAGTTTGAATACGATTCAAGCTATAATAACCTTCAAATGCTGACTGTACATATTTCGGTAAACTAGTGATTCGATAAAGAGGCTAAAATTGATCAATTCTAATATGCAAATCGAATTCTTTGAAATGTAATTTACCTCTCCTGGATTCCATTCTTTTGGTCGTAAAGCAGGTATATGAACTTCTTCATATCCATCCTTTTGCAAACGATATGAATCATCGGGTAGTCGACAATTGTTATTCGACATGAAATGATTATATTGTAGATTATTTCTTATGAGTTTGATTAAAGTTTTGATGAAATCCAATTGTTCATAACCAAGTACGAGAATAAGTTGATTTTCTAATTGGTGAATATTCGATGTTTCCTTAAGAATTGCTAAAATTTCTTGTATTTTTAATTCTCTATCTGCATATTCACTATACATTTCACTTAAATGTTTTTGTAACCAAGAAGGATCGATTGAATGTGGATGAATGAAATTATCCGTTTGGATTTCTTCATCTTTAATTTCCTTTCCAAGATTAACAAGAAATGTAAAACGTTGTTCCGAAATTTTTGTTCTTAATAATGTTTCAATTTGACTTTGACGATCTTTATCACACAGTTTATTATTTTTCAATCTAATTAAGATTTCATCAATTGCATTATAAAGAATATTTTGTGTTTGATCACCAATCGTTTCTTGAATAAAATTAAGTAGTGCTTCATATATATTTGCATCGTTCCTTGTCTTTGTGGTCGATTGAACGTATTTGATACATCGATTTCGTCTTTTTTTTGTTTTCTATTTAAAAAACAACAACAACAGAAAATCAAATAGATCGAAAATGAATATACGAACTTATTACAATGTTCTGATTGTGTACATTGATCATGACTATCGTCATTCATTTTAGTAATATTCAAATGATTCCTACGCGATTATTTTCTTTGCTTCTTTATTATATTTATATTCTGAATGGCGAAAAATTTCAACGATCACCATTCATTACACACGTAATGTCAACATACAGTTTGCTTATTAGCTAAACTTGCTTATTTATTACTTTTCCACGTGACAATTTTTTTCTTATTCTCTTGTTGGTTTGGCGTTCTGTTGCTGTTGTTTTTTGTGGGTTTTTTCCAAGTTGACATCATGTACTCGATGAGCGCATTCGAATATCGTATACGTCTACCTTTTGAATAATTAATCATTTCTTGGTTTTTGTTAAGTTATGATCGAAAGAGAGAAATGAGATGCACACTCGGCACAATTCATTCCTTATGATTCATGACACCTGAGAGATGCCTTGAAAAAAAAGAATATTCTCAAATAATAAAATCAAAAAGTTATTTTCAATTTTACAATTGTTGTCGATCTTTGACTGTAAGTACATGATCAGATTGGTCTTCTGAAAATTCTCTCGAAACATTTTATGTGCTGTGGTTGAGTATTATAAATTCAAGTAGCAAAAAAAAAATGAAATTTGAAAAACAAAACATGATAACGGCACGGGAAGCGTTACGGCATTGCATTTTTTCAACTTGTCATCAGCGGGCCAGAGGGGGGGGGGGCGAGGGGGGCAATTGCCTCCCTGAAAAATTTTTGAAAGGTCAATAAATGTTTTCGCCTCAGAAAAAACGAATATCTGTGGTAATAATAACTGAAAATTTTTTATTGCCCCCCCCTGAAATTTTTTCGCCAGCCCGCCGATGTTCAGTACACTGAAAGAAAACCGATCCCGTGTGACATCTAGAAAGTTTTTGACAATTGTAATGAATTCTAGAGCTTTTTCGGTTTTGTATAATAATCATAATATTTCGTCGAAAAGTATTTTCTCTTTTATGTCAGAAACAGTTCCATAGCCGTCTTCTACGAAACATTTGTTAATGAACAGATACATTTTACATCACCTTTCTCGATTTATTAATTGTTCATCCGATAGGAGCAAAGAAACAGCAATGTAAATGCCACCCGCTATCAAGTGGCGTGGGTATTTCAGAATGCCTACTTATTCACTCTTTATTATTTGAAACGCATGAAAGAAGCAAAATACTAAAGAAACTGACTGTTTTTACGTTCTACTGTTCACGTACAGTTATTGTTGCAAATACTCTCTTGTAACTCATATGACTCAACAGGAAATAACAACGTCAGAAACTGTCAAGTACGTGTTCAGCGAAACAAAACCTTCAAACTTTCATTTACCGTGTATTTTAGTAATCCGACACGTCATAACTATGCAAGTACTATTTCAGAATCTAAACAATCAAATAACCATAGCAATCTTGGGTACGTCTAAGACGATATATTTCTATGAATCTAGCTTAAAAAACACTTTGTTCGTTCGTTCGTTCATTTAAGTTTCAGAATATCCGAGAAAAACTCAATTGTTAGAGTCAATGTTGGTGGATGTCAATTTGAAATTTATTTGTCTAGTCTCAATTCTTTTCCTGAATCACTATTGGGTGATGAAAATAAACGAAAAATCTTTTGGAATGCAGATCGACAAGAATATTTTTCAGCCGACATCGCGCATGTTTTGAAGCGATTTTATATTACTATCAATCAAATGGACGCCTTCGTCGACCAGACAACGTTCCATTGGATATATTTCTGGAAGAAGTTCGCTTTTTTCAATTAGGCCCAAGAGCATTTGCTCAAATAATAGAATCCGAAAATTTACGCAAGATTAAACCTAAACCAATGCCTAAAACACGTCGGCATCAGCTTCTTTGGCAACATTTGCAATATCCTAAATCTTCAATTTTAGCACGTGTGATCTATGTTGTTTCGATGGCTATTACTCTTCTTTCTAGTATCACACTAGCTATTGAAACTTTACCAAGTGTCAACAAAGATTCGTCAGTTGTATGTTATAGTGAAACAAATCTTAACGATTCTGTATCTTTGCAATTCATGGCAGGTTGTCCAAAAATATTCTCTACGCCGCCATATTTTACGATTGAAAGTATTTGTGTTTCATATTTTACAATCGAATTTTTTCTTCGTTTGATCAGTACTCCTTCGTATAAACATTTTCTCTTGTCATTTATGACTCGGGTTGATATACTATCTATTGTTCTATATTATTGCATTGTGGCTCTATAGACATTCGCCTTGATTGTATTTGATCGAGCCAAGTATATCAAACAAGCCCAACATATTGTCTGCGCTTAATCCTTGATCCAGTAGCATTTTGCAAATCTCTTCAGCCTTATTATTTGGATCTAAGACTGCTAGTAACGAACTCAGTCTTAGTCTTAACCAACTATTTTTGTATGCAGAACATTCTTCTCTCATGTACTCGGTAAGCGCACTTAATTCTTGGTCACTATCAACGAAAGTAAGCGCTAGATTAACGTCGTAGAATCGGTTCGAACACCTATTGATTTTATATTTTGAATTTGAAATACACTATTTATCGAAAACAACACTTCATCTTCTTCTGGAAAGTAACTTATATTTACCAGTTGAAGCAAATGGTGTTGTTAATTCATTCGGATCAATCTTTATGACGAAGAGAATTCCTATCAAATCTGGATCACTTAGATTGCTGTCGGCGAAGAAAGAAGAGACGGCACAATCTTTGCTTGTGGATAAAAAGTTATTAAATGACATTAATCCCCCTTTTGATTCCATCAGCTCACCAAAATCTGTCTTGCACATGTCTTGACCATGATAAACTACGAAGATTTCTTCAGAAGAATGGTTTCGAAATTGTTTTTTGTGTAGCTGTTCAATTTGTCGCTAAAGATCTTTAAATGAAAAACCCCATTCGTATAAGTATATCTCCATCCAACAATCGTAAACTATGATTCAACGCCATGTATAAACTACTGTCTTTTGTATACCACTAAATAGGTGTTTTCTGTTTATACTGATGTACCAATTGTTTAATATTATTTAATTCATTTTTGTCATTAGCAAATGAGTGACAAGAAGACTTAATAAAGTCTTCGACATGTTTTTCTTCAAAATCTATAGTCAACAGAGTTTCTTTGACTAGTTGCGTATACATAAAAGATGGATCGAGTTGATTCAGTCTTGTTTCCGATCGTACGAAGCTCATTGGTATAGCATTCTATTCACATTGATAAGTTCTTTTCTCCAAAGCTATATTATTGATGGATATCATATTTGTAAAAACACCTTGGATTTTTTACCATTTTTGCGTCCATTGTTCATGGTATTTCTTATTACTACATAAAATACAAATTGAACCTATTTGTCGGATATTATAAATACAAGGCATGACATACTCTCCAATCGATCCGGAGATTGTCAAACATACATTCTTGTCATCAAGATCAAGAATAAATTCAATACATTGATCATTGTCTGTGAATGTGTTGATGATATGTGTATAGCTGAGACGTTGTGTAATAATATTTTGATAATCTTCATTATTATAATCAATTTATTCATCTAACCAAACTACAATAACATTTCGTATGTTTTGAAAAGCAATGTCGGTGTTCATATGTTCTTTTCAAAACGACAACAACTTCTACGCTATCAATATGACTTCAAAAATGAATGTACTTTTTATTGTAAAAAGGAGAACAAGAAAAATATCGGTATCGTTCATGGTGAATTGAATATGATAAGAACAAAATAAGATTATAAAACATATGAGTGTAAAATTGTTGAGTTCTCTTGCAGTTAACCATGCGACATGCATCTGCGTATGTAAAAACAGGAGCGAGATGTATCTCTTGTCACGCACAACTTCGTCCTCGTCGCGCATCTTGATGTATAAAAATAAAACCAGTCTGATATTTTAATTGTGAAGCTCAGACGACTGTAAAACATGCCGTTTTCTGTTAAGTGATGTTATTTACGCATAGGAATTTCTTCGACAACTAAGATAAAAGACAGCAGAATGGCAACGATGTATGAAGTGTATTAGAAGCATCAATTTTTTTGTAAAAGCAAACATTTTCCTATTTTAAAAAAAGAGTTGCTGGAGATTTTGAAAGAAATGTCTTCTTCTTATGTGATTTATTTAAATTCTTTATCTCAAACAATATCAACCTACGGTAGTTTAGCATTGTTTGTATTGGGAATTTTCGGTAATTTTGTGAATATCATTCTCTTTACTTTTCACCGTCAACTAAACAAATTGCCAACAACTACATTCCTTGTAGTTTCGTTTTTGGCAAGTCAAGTCAATCTATGCATTGTATCAATACCTCAGCTACTATCTCGATTTGCTGGAAGTGATCCATTGACTAAATATCCAATCTTGTGTAAACTACGATGGTTTTTTGGACCCGTAACAGCAATAGTAGGCCTACATGGGTTTTGTTTAGCTATTATCAATCAATATCTGTTAACATCAAAACATATTCGTTATCGTCAATTGATAACAAGAAATCGATCCTATTTTATTTGTCTAACGGTAATATTTTATGCACTTGTATTTCTGACTCCAAATTTATTCTATTTTACACATTGGATTAATTCATCAAACAAAACAATATGTGACATAATCAATCCAATAGCTGCGAATTATAATGTTTATATAGGTCTTGTTGTCTATTGTTTTATTCCGATTCTTACTTTATCAATATTTTCTCTGTTAATGTGGTTAAACGTACGAAGAATCCTAGTACGTCAACACGAGATGGAACAGACAATGACTCGCTTATTAATCGGTCAAATTATCATGGTTTTATTAACAACAGTTGCTTTTGTAATCCATCGGATGTATTTCCTGTATACTAAGAATCTTTCGAAAAGTTCTCTCCAACTGGCAGAAGAAAATGTTATTTCAGCTGTCGCTGTATTGTTTATTACAAGTACTCATTGGATGTCTTTTTATGTTTATGTCTTCACATCAAAGACGTTTCGTCATAACTTATCTGACATTATCTTTAGACAGCAAGGTCAAATTCGACCAGCAGTGGCTAAAACACGAACTCCCGCTCACAAAACATAACTCCTGAGCTGAGTTTACTTTTCAATTTCGTGCGTCTGTACATAAGAATCTCTTTAATGGAATGGTTAATGCTACACCACTACTATCATCAACCTTTCTCTTACAGTTTTCTTCATTCTGTATTGAAATAAAGCTTTCCATGAGCAATTAAAATTAATGGTTTTTATATAAATACCATATTAAAAGCTTTGAATTGTTTTCCTCTTTTAACAAGTCATTCAATTAGACAACATCGACTATTTTATTTCACAAAGAAACACTTTAGATTTTGAATGTTTACATTTAATACAAAAGGAAAAAAAACGATTATTTTGTTTTTTTCATGCGAATTAATTGAACTAAAGCTAAAAGTAGAAATCCAGCCGCCATCATTGCTAATGCAAAAATATTCTTCCAAACATTCCAGCGGTTTTATAATCTAGCTCTTTGTCTTTGAAAATTTGTGTACCATTGATTGAAATATTCAAATATGGATTTAGCCAAGATATCCAACTGAATAAACTCGATAGTTTAACTATACAACCACTGAATATCATCATATGACAACAAAAATCAGCACAACAACAATCAATGCTACGGCTGAAACAAAACATTCAGTTGTAATGAATTTGTTCTGACAATATCGTAACTAACTCACCAAAAATAGGTATTGTTGCTGATCCGAAGACTGAACTTATAAATATCATCAGAAGAAAAACAAAAAATTGTCCAAAACTTCGTTGCAATCCAGTCATGTAATAGGCAATTAACGAAAATATCAGCGATGGAACTACACACATCGGCAAAACATCGCAAACAAGTTTTGTGATGAAGAATGTCGATATTCGATAATAACCACCAATATTTTCCTAGAGAAAAACCCACTATACAAATCTTTACTATTTAAAGTTTCTCTGAACTCACATGAATAAATAAAACCCGTTCTTTGAGCAAAGGTTCTAACGCTGTAGCTGTACTGAAGATTTGACTGACAATAATGAAAAAAATCGCACCTAAACGATTAGGTATCCCAGGATTATCAGTCAATTCTATGTCTTTTCTCACAGCATTTTGTAATGTTCGCTTTGATATATAATAAAGTTCGCGACTGCGTGGCCGCTGAATGATTTCCTCAGCCTCACAAGAAAGTAAATTTTGAAAAGCATTACTTTCCACTTGATTGATCTCATCTGTAACTTGGGAGCACAGAAGATTCTTCATAATTTGTTTATAATCTAAGCAAATCGTGTTCATCACAATAGTAACCTTGTTTATTAAAGTGAGCTAAAACATCTTTCGAAGAACCATGGTAAATATATTGACCTTTGCACATGAACAGCACTGTATCAAATAACGCAGTTGGTGAATGGAGAAGATTATTGTACTTTTAATTCAGAACAAAAGATTAGTCTAGTCGATTTTGAAATCAGAAAGTATTTGCTTATATCCGTCTTTGGATAATTTACTTAAACATTTCATCGCATTCCGTAGAGTTGATGCGTCGAGTCCTAAAGAAAAATGTAACAGATGAAATCTCCATTTGAAAGTCTTCTGATAAACTGTAGAACACAAGCCTGAACACTCTTGCGATATAAAAGGTACATACCGGTTGTTGGTTCATCGAGAAAAAGTATTTGCTGACAGACGAATATGAGCTGAAAACATGATATTCTCCCTAACAGTAAGTGTACCACTAACAATATCATCTTGAACAACATAACCAATCATATATTTATATGAAGTTGGCATTGAAAAATCATCAAGAAAAATGTCACCTGAAAGGCTACACGGATCCTTGCGACAGGCTAAGACATCTAATAGAGAAGATTTTCCACATCCGGTCGGACCTGAATATTAACCGAGAGAATTTTCAAATAAAAGTCAGTTGAAGATTCTCACCCATAAGTGCATTCATTCCAGATTTAAAGATTCCTGAAACTTGACGTAAGATCCTTTTTGGTGCATCCGGTTTCAAACATGATGGATATCATTTGCGGCGTCGATGATCACTCAGTGTATCACCAAGAGTATATTCGATATTTCTTTTGAACGCCTTGGTGGATGTCTCGGAGGAAGAGAAGGAATTGAATTATTATTGCTTTGATGTACAACCACTCTTGAAAGGGGAATATCGGATGATACTGTCGGTAGCTCGGTAAATTGATCATTATAATTCCGATCCCGATGTCTACTACGAAAACATTGGAATTGATTAGCTCATTAAAATCTTTTTTACCGTAATGAACGACCATCCAACTTGGCAGAACTTGTAAGAAACATCTTTGCGTGTATTGCTTGAAGTTTTGATGGAATCCAATGAAGATATCAGGCCAGCTTTGAAATTTTTATTATGAATAATAAATTTTAAAAATGAAAACAGATATCTAACAAACTCCTATAAACAGCGATTACATGAAAAGAGCCAGAGGTCACGAAGGTACATGACTCATGATCTGTCTGTTAATACTCTATTAAACGCAAATTTGCTGTGTAAAATGAATTTTTTTTGTCTATAAAATGTATGATGAACTGAGTTGGTTTTGGACGAACGAACTTTAATACTTAGATTTTTGGATTGTACCTAAAAGATTGTTTGCCTTGTACGTCAGCAAATGGAGATAAGAATTCCCACGCAATGACGAAAGAAAAAAAAACATATAGAAGATTATATTGGAAAAAAGATAAAGGTAACTGAAGAAGTTATTTAAAAAAGAAGCTCTTCGGCGACTGAATAACATTTATTCGCCGAGAATGAAGAAAAACAAAAACTGTAAGTACAAGTAAATAGTCCTATAGGGTCAAATTATCTACATTTATGACATCTTGGTCATGGACAATAAACTAAATCCAACATAACGATAATGTATCGTAAGAAAAGCTTCATTGTGTATTGGAAAAGTGATTATACACTTTGAACTCGATCAGTGTGTTTGGTTGGCTATTCATTTAAAAAAAAGATATCTAAATTCAAATACAAACTTTGTTATGAGTTGTCGAAAAATTATCTCCATCAGATATGCTCTGTGAAGTACCTTTGTACTGTCGTAAACGAACCCTATTTTGCATTTTAATTCACTTAGTTTGTGCACTGAACATCTGCATTACGCCATTCCACAAATCAATACAAGAGTATTTGTTTGGGATTTTATATTGCATCCTAATTGAATATTTTTGAGGAGCCGAAAAGTAATTAAAGTGCTTCAAATGAACATAAGTGGCTAATTTTAACAAAAACATTAAACGAAAAGTTTTTAATTTGAGAACTTATCTGCGATTGACTCGAATCGACATCCAGATGTGCTCCTTTGCCCTTTCGGTTCATACTCTATTAAAATATTTCATATTCATAAGAAAATCTCTTATGTGCACAGATATTATCATTGATTACTATTTATCTTTATCGGGCTTCTTATTAAGTAATAAATAATCGATTTTGTGCATTTCATTCTGTGAATTTCATGTGCATATAATTTTATAAATATAATTCGAATCAAATATCTAGAAAGTTTTGAAGATGAGGATGAAGACAAATGGCAAAAGAGCGCTTCACTTTCAACGGTAGATTTAAAGTTAATAATCAAATTCTTATCTTAGATGTACGGCGAAGTACATATTTTCTTCTTATTCTATATTTCATAAACAATGAACACCGCTACGAATAATATTCACACAAAATTCTTAAAATAAAAATCAAAGCAGTAATCGTAAATCTCGAAAAAATTCAAAGTACATGTTTTAATACATATTTAATAATCTAGATAATACATTTCAACTCTAAAGTCCATGATGGACTAGCTACTTGTGTCTAAACGAATAAATTTGATATTTGCTAATGGTGTGGATGAGGGTACCATATCTGTCCTCACTAATATCCTGCACTGAAAAGTTCTCCTTCAAGAGATTTTGTCATTCGATGATGAAAACTATCAATAATATCAAGATTTTCACTGAGATCTAAATAATAATCTCAAACCTAATCTTCTGCTTTTCCTCGTTGGTTTTAATCTATTATTCTGTATTTTGTTATCAGTTGTTGCTACAAATTTTTGACTTGACTTCAATTCAGTTCTATTGCTTCATATTACAAGAAGTTATCTTTCGGTTTAAAATTCTTTGTGCAACTAACCAGCGCCGTCTACAAAAACTAAGGTTCATAAGAACTCTTTCGATTTCATCAAATCCCCTCCATACAGCACCGTTTTCTGAAACAAACTGAAACTGATCTCAGATTACCTGTCACAATTTTTCACAATAATTTCATTATCGCACCTCACAACTGTAACGAAATATAAGTGAAAGACTTTCGTTACTATTTATCTAGAATAGAGAAATATAGAAATCATATCGCATCTCGTCGAAATAGAATGGATACCGACCATTCTTCAAATTCTAGTTTATAGCTGTTGCTACCTGAGATGAATTCAATAGAAACAAGAAATGTACTATTGGTAATAACTGATTGAGTACCGCGTTATTGGACGCGCGAGATGACTCGTTCAATTCAACAAATGGTTTCCAAACTAAACTCACAAGCGTCTTTTTTCGATTGAAAGTAGTTTAAATAGACGCTCGGATCATCCGTAAGCTGATAAGACCGATTAGAATGGCCTCTACATTGTTTCTTTGACGAAAGGAATTTTCCGTCATCGGGCAACATATACGCTAATCTTACCCCATGGAAGGTCAACAATATGATTTCCTAATCGGTCAATAGGATGAAGAGACATGTTGTGTCCACAGTTTCCAGATTTTTAGTGTAGTGTATAATAGGCTCAGTAACGCCTTAAGAACCAATGTTCGATGGCGAAAAGACGACTAAGAACTTCCGTCCTATTAATTCCCGAGAAAGCATGTATAATTACAAACATTTCCTTTGTGCTAGAAAGAGCGTTTCAAGATGTCGAGCGTGATATCTTGCCACCCGATAATCTTGATGAATTATTTTTAGATAAATCGATATATTATCCGAATAATTGTGGAGAGTTAGGGAAACCATTTCTTCATTTCTATGGTGAAAAGAGAATCCACAATAATTTCTTTGTATATCGACGATCGTGCACAAACAGAAAGTAAGAAAAGTATCAAATTTACACGCCAACAATCGTCATTAAGACCATGCCCTACAATTACATAATTTTATATCTAAATGAGAAAAGGTGATCAATAAAGGAAAGGAAATTTCGTAAATTACAAAATGAATTAACAGAAATTGGGCACATTTCATTTATGCTGATTGAGAAATTATATCAATGAATTTGTTATAGAACCATTTAGTGAAAGAGCGACGTTTTTTTTGATAAATCAATTAAAATTATTTATCGTCAACGATTCTTTCTCTATATGACAATATTTTGCACTGAACATTTATCTTTCCTTTGTCCTTGTACATTCTTTTCCAGCCACAATAAACACATTTGTAGAATATATGTTGATCATCACGTCTTTGTGATGAGAAACTCACAAAGCATCGTACTGATTTTTAGAAAATCACAGAAACAAAATTAGAATTAAAAAAAATGATACTCCGTATAATCACAGGGCGATCCAAATAAGAAGACTATATTGATCTGGTCGTGGGTGAGGGCAAGTACATAGCTTGTAATTGACAGCCTCAGTTTAAATGTCTGTAATAACTTCCACGATCGATAATAAGCTTCTCCAGCCACTATATGAAGGGTTGTAAGTCAAAGAATGAAGATACAGGACAAGAAAATGAAGATAATACTTACACTATAGTGCATCGCCACACTACCCAAATGTCGCGCTTCTTCAGTGGTAATATAGTTTTGATTCAGCTTAAGTGTAATAAGTGCCTATGTATATAATTGTAGATGAATTTATACCATAAAAGAGGGGAACAATGAAAACTACTTTGTTCACGTATAATGCTCAGCTAGATAAAGTACACCTTCATTTGTGATACCATTACGTCCGAGATCAACATCAGTAAGTGTCTGTTGTAGGAATTGCAAATGAATCTGTACAATTAATACAAAAGAGTGAAAGATACCTTATTAAACTTTAATGCATCAGCGATATAATATATTGCTCTATCGCCCATATCATTTCCCCAGAGCCGTAGTACACTAAGTGTCTTCACTCAGAATAATATGTAAATATCTGAAGTAGATGAAAAAGGAGACTACCGTATTGATCTTCAACGCACTCCCCAAATATTGTGCTCCTTGATCTCGCATTTTATTGGCTCCTAGCTCAAGCATATTGAGTGCCTATGCGTAGCGTTGTATGTAGATCAATAGATGAGATGAAGAGAAATTACCACATTGTATTCCTCGATTGTGTATTCGATTACCATACAGGTAAAGTTTAGTGAGTGTCTTTAAAAATAAGCGTAAATGAATACTTCCGATAGATTGTATAAGAGAATAAACCATACCACATTCTTCTTCAATGCATGGGCTATGTATTGCACTCCTATATCTCCGATTTTGTTACAGTCTAGTTGAAGTTCGATGAGTGACTATGTGTAGAATTAGAAAAGAACTTGTGAAATAGATAATAAAAGAGAATGGATTACAATATTGCTCCTCAGCATATTAGCTAAATATCGTGCTCCTCTGTATCCGATATCATTGTATCCAATATCTAATATAGTAAGTGTCTATGTGAAAACTTTCATTTGAAGATAAATGCAATACTTAGTATAAGAACGAACATTACCGTATTCTTTTCTAATGCATTAGCTAGATATCGCACTCCTCCGTTTGTGATGTGGTTATATCTGAGTTCAAGTTTGTGAAGCGTGTATATATTCACAGTTATTAATAAATCCATAACACAGAGGTAAAGATCATATAAATTACCCTGTTGCTCTCCAATGCATCAGCGATATGTTGTATTCCTTCATCTCTAATAGTGCTTTCATTGATGTATAGTTCACACAGAGTCTCAATTTAGTATTTTTATAAAGAAAACATTTAGTCAATAACATGAGAAGAAAGTTTACTGTATTATTCTTCAATCCAACGGCCAGATACTTTGTTCCTTGATATCCAATTTTACTGCATCCGAGATTAAGGACAGTAATTGTCTGTATGTAAAATACCATATAAATATATGACATTGATGATAACAGATTGGATTTTACCATTGTGCTTTTTAATACATCACCTAGAGATCGTGCTCCTTCGACTCCGATTGATTGAAATTTAGCATCAATTTTTGTCAAGATCTGTATACAAAATAATAAAGCAACATATCTAAGTAGGGATGTGATTGTGACCTCCTCTCGCACACAATTACATCCACTTTTATGCTCAAGAAATACCACTTGCCTGCTGTCCATAATATCCGTAATATGTTTCAATGATTCTGTTAAATCGTTGACAAACATCTCGCATTGAAAAGATGATAGTATGCTCATCTTGATGATCAAGAATTCGATAGAAAATTTCAACTGGTAATGTATAGAAACAAGTGGTGTTTTGTGTCGACATTGGTAAATGATATGAGAGATCTGTTTTACGTTGGTTATATAAAATACTGCTTTCGCATATATTTTTTCCCAAGGTAAATATGGTTTATTTCTCATCATTGTTAGAATTTTCCTTTGACAGTATTTTGTTATTTGTCAGAGGATGGAAATGAAATTTCATTCGAATGATCTTTTAAGTCATCGATGTTCTCGAGATCTTGTGTTTGAAAGCGCACTTTTAGTTTAGTCAATTGTACAGCACTAAAACACGAATATCGTGTGATAAAGTAAAAAGGGTGGGAACATTTTTTTTTCTAAATCTAGCCTATTCATTGATGAGGATGATTTATCGTTTCAAACGTACACGATATTGTTTAGTGTATCACACTGGAGCGAATTATTCTTCTCAATTATCATACGCATTTAAAAGAAAAATAACGACAGGTATTCTTTTTTTTATGTATTTTTTATCTTTTCTCCGCAGATGAATATACAAAGAACGAAAATGGTGATGAAACACGGGTATTCATTTGTCTGTATTTCTCATATAGATCACATTAAAAAAAGGTGAAGGTTCTTTTTTTTCTATACAAACAACGGAATTAATCGTAATTGTATTAGTTTTTAAAATTGAAGCAAGTGCACGATCTTTTCGAAATGAATACATTTACCAGAGTGACAAATGTTACAAACACAGTCACAGGCCGTGTTACAAATGTGGCTACGGATCTCTTGAAAGCTGTTATGCCCGACTTTGCACTGCGAGTCCTTGAGAATATTTTCCCATCGGAAAAAATGATCAAGCCAGTCGAAAAGTTTGAAACTGTGCTAGTTGTTTCACTCGAAGATGCTGTGCAACCACTAGTTTCACTTGTTCCCGAAGTCTTGGAAATGGTTGCCATAGTAAAAGAGAAGTGTGCTCAACCAAAGGAAGGTTTAACCACGGATGAATCTGCTGCAATTATGCTTTATTCAATGGAATGGCAGCCAAGAGAAAAATCATTTTATATTATTCTTAACAATACTCTACGAACTGAAGATCAGGAAAAACTGAAACCTTGGGATCTTTATTTAAAACTATTTGTTACAGCTCTTGAAAAATTACCATCGACTTCTCAAACAATCTATCGAGGTGTGAAAATGGATTTGAGTGCTCAGTATCCTCAAGGGAAAACGTTTGTTTGGTGGGCATTTTCGTCATGTACAAGATCAATGCAAGTACTTCAATCAGAACAATTTCTTGGAAAGACCGGAGCAAGAACTTTATTTGCTATTGAATGTAAAGGTGGTAAAGATATTCAACAGCATTCATTATTTCCAGCAGAAGATGAAGTTCTACTTATTGCGGTTAGAAAGTTACAAGTAGTTTCTCGTCTGGATTCAGGAAATGGACTTTTTATTATTCAATTGAAAGAAGTGGATTCAGATAATCCTCTTCTTGGAACTTCAACGAGTGCAAATTCATCGATTTCATCAGAATCTCACGAGCAATCGAGCGCTTCATCTCAGAAATCGAATCAAAATGCATCAATACCATTTGGAATTCCCATTCTTCACAAACCAAAATTTCTGCATTGATTATTTACAAAAACGATTTATTATAAATTTAACTTTTTCTCTAAATTCACATCTTACTCGAGCTCCAAAAATATTAATGAATAAAATTAGCTTATCATATAAATCGTTGTATGCGTCTTGTGAATGAAGGTACAAGAAAATTTTCGCTAGATGAAAAACTAATATAACCTAATCTGTACCGAATCAAACACATAGCTTCGTATGATTTCACCAGTTACACTACGTGAAGACGAAAATGTGTACCGATTATACTTAAGCTTACTTTAGAGGTTTTTTTAAGCAGAAAGAAAAGAAGAATTTTGAAACGACTCAAGCGCTGATGATGCATCACACTTCAACAGTTGCCAGATATACGTTTTTTGAAGTCGATGGTCGTATTTCTTAATTTGATCATAAAAGGATAGAATTTCATGAAGACATGATCATTTTATACTAATATCTACCTCGTCTTTAAAAAAAGATCATACTTCTTTATTTGTTTCTATTCTCAAAATTTAGTTGCTAGCTTTAAAATGCTTCGAAGCACATTAATCGAACGAATAAACCAATAGTTTCCCGTGATTGGTGTCGTAAAGTTCATCAGTCGATCTGATATTCCATTCTTCATTCCAATCATTCTTTACAGTTGTTTTTTATGTTTTCTTGGGTTTGAAGTATATGAAATGAAGTTCGTGAGACGTGAGAATCTTTGGCCATATCTTTTTACTATTTTCTCCTGTTGTTCTTCCAATGACATTGGCTTGTTCATCTTTTCCAATCAGTACAGCTTTTACCTATTCGAAATAAATCATATCATTTAGAATGCGATAATCGTTCATATTCAATACCCTTTGCTCAATGATCTTTGCATTTTCATTGCCATCTTCGAATCCTATGAAGTCTTGTGACAATCCATTTGTTTTCGAACTCATGCATGCATATCCAAAGGTATCATGCAATTAAGTAATTAATGTATTCGGAATGGATTGACAGAATCGTCGGCCGAGTTCAAAGCAAAGATCCTTTCAATTACTCCGAATATGAACAAGTAAATCTCCTCCTTTGTGATGTTCGATCATTAACTATTTCAAAATACAATTGATTTTGTTTTTTTCTCATTATCTGTACTTGGCATAACTTTTCCCGTAGGACCTTCTTCTCTTGTAAATTTCAATAAAGCTTTTGGAAGACGCAGATTTGTTCGAGTCTTCGAGCATCCAAAACCTGACGTTGCATCCAATTGACAAGGTTGATGTGCTTGCGAAAGCTTTTCTCGAAGTTCTGACAGATTTCGACAAGCTTTCATCACCTTGCTATCATCGTCATTATGAGAGAGAGATGTACTAAAACGAATGAATGTACTTGGAAATCGACAAAGTGAGTAGGAAATATACTGATGATGTAAAGTGCATATTCGAAAAGGTCATATGGTGTCAAAACTCCCGTTTGACAATGATAAACCTTCGAAAGATCGATACTCAGCTTTTGGATATTTTCTGCATTTGATGAAATTTGAATGTTCTGATCAGCTACCAAAAAATAAATCGATGAGAATAATCATTATTTTCTTCAACGCTTGTTTTTACCTTGGTTAAGATTTGACATTGATGTGGTCGTTGTATTTTAAAAAACACGTTGAATCTAGTAATGTGATAGAAGTTACGCAAAAGGTTCGATCGTATAAGATCTTCGACATTCTCGCCAGCAGACAAATGATCATTTCAGACGAGAAGTAAACGGTTGAAAAAAAACGCACTCACATTGGTTTATCTGTAGAAAGAAAAAGCGCGTTTATCATTAACGCTTCTTGCGTTCTATGTTCGTATACTGAAAAATATGATTGCAATAGATAGCTGCTTCACATCTAGATTACGCATAACTTCTAACATGTATCAGATATCAAACTAACCAATGAATAAAAGTGCAATTCAAATACTGATTTTTTTAAAATATTTTTAATCAATTAGAATCTGTAATGACATGAAAGTCAAATGATTAGACTTGAGTTGGCATAATTTTGATTGATGCCAAAACATTTTTCTTCCCTTGTTCAACGGGTTCAACTAAAATAACGTTCGAGTTCGTTGGATCAACTTTCCATCGAATATATTCGTTTACACTAACATTGTAGCTAGATTTTGGATAGACTAACGATGGAACGAAGATTTCTGTTGCCTGTTTAATTGATGTATCGATCGTGTATGTAAGAAGAAAGGTTTTCGTGTTAGGTTCATATTGCATTGTATTTGGTTCACCAGCAATAGCGCGAGCATAAGGTCGAGTTATTCGTTTACTTGCATCTTGATCATTATAGACAATACCCCAGTATGCCCATGACTGAAAATACTTGTCTGCATATGTCAGAGCCCATTCGAGTTGTTCATCACATGTTGGTGAACCATCACACCCACCAAACTCAGTTAAAAATGATGAACCACCAAGTTGTTTCACATCAATCTGAAATAAAATCGAAAGCATTATTTTGTCATCGAGTAACTTCGAACGAACCATCGTTGAAGCAAACAAAGCTGGTCCTTCGACATCATCACATAGGATTCGATCAAAACTTGGAATCGTTTCATTGCCCGGAACCGGCTGAATTTGTAAAATTGAACAATAATAATGATAAGAGAACACACTTCGATTTCGATAATTGTTTCCACCGGGAACATGACTGAAACCACTACCAAAATACTTTCCATTCAATCGAACTATATGAGAAGAACTCGATTCGTATCATGTATTTCTTATTGTTCAACAAACCTCCCCATGTGACAGGCTCATAAAAAATCAATGTTTCGTTGTCAACAGATCGAATGACTTTCGACAGTTTATCATAAAATGGTTGAAGATTCACCGACCCGGCAATGCCAGGTAGAAGAATGAATGGATTGGCGAAATAGTTTCCAGCCCATGGTTCATTTATTAACTCGTATCTAAATATGAATGATAGTTTTCAAAAGAGAAGAAAAAAACAATCATCACACCCTAAGACATTTGAATATGAGTTGAAAGTTGTTGCGACCAAACGCCAAAAATTCGCCATGGATTCAGTTGCACCAGCAACATTGTCATATAAACATTGAAAACCATGTGAACATGCTTCTGTCAAATAACTAGAAAAAGCCTCATTAATACATCATTAGACTTCGTTTTGACTTACTTAAGAAACCAACTTGAAATATTTTTGAATGGCCATGGATCTATAAAGAACAAAGAATGATGTTGACAAAATATTGAGTCGATAAGAAACGCACATGGATGGTCAGGTGGTGGAAATTTATCATAAATATGGGGAGGGATACCGTCGTACAAGCCTGTTCGACTGCTCAGTCCATCTTGATGCATATCCAGCAAGACATAGATTTGATTTTTCTGAAGTAACTCAACGATTTGTTTCATCACATTGAGATATGTGTAATTATATTTCTCTGGTGTTGGTTCAACTCCGGTCCACATCATTCTTGAATTGAATTGTTAAATATGAGAGAGAGAGAAAGATTTATTTGTTTAAACATACCCAAGTCGAACGAAATTCAAACCCCACGACGACATATTTGTAACAAAAGCTGCGTCGAGCAGTTCAGAAGGATACCATGGAAATCCTTTGTTAACAAAATTAGCACCATGATAAAGGCGAATTCGATTGTAATTATCTTTGATGTAGATTTCATCGGTATAAACATTAGCTGAACCCGAACAGAGCTTAACAATGATAAAGAGAATAAAGACTACTATTCTAGATTTCATTTTTAAAACTAGATGAAAATTGTGGATGTGTGCAGAAAGATATGTAGGTATCTGTTGGTTAAGATAACGCTAAGTAAATGTTCTGGTTATTTTTCGAACGCGACATGACATACTTTTTTTTTTATTAAAATAGAAAGTGCGACCTGATTTTCAAAAAATTCACAATTTTAACAAAGTTTCAATACAACAACGCCAGACTATGCCATTTCGTATAGCAAAGTCGCATTGTTGACTGACTTTGCGTTTGTAATTTTGATATTCCATAGATTCTGCTTTCTCTAAATGATGCGATTTAGAATATAGCACTACTGTCATCTTTTTGATGTATGGTGTTCGATCCTGAACTACAATTCTTTTCCCTTCATCCAGTCGTGTTGTCAAAACTGATGGATTTTTAGTTAATTATAAAAATTTAGTGATTATTAATCGCTGCTGAGGGTGAAGGTGGACCACTGCAGACTTTCAATTTGCTTTTAATATGCGATTTTTTTTTCTAAAGGTCAATACATCTTGAGGGTATATTGACTCAGGCATATTATTCAATTCTTTTTGATATGATGTAACATATCTTTTTAAAATTAAAACAAAATTAGATCTCGAAGATATGCAGATCTTGAACGGTGCGAGTGGTATAAATGTTCACGTGGTAAAACGTACTACTACTGTGAAGATTGTTTCACAGTATTTTTAATCAACTAGTAACACCATCAGTCCGGTTATCACATGCCGTCGGGCACGAGTGAACAAAAAACGAAAATTCCAGAGGGTGTACTCGGCTTCTCTTCTTATGATTGCATTGAGAGAGATATCAAGAAATATGTGTACAGTCTAATTAACTATTAAGGTCAATTTTATTCTGCCTCTTGTCATTTTACTTTCGCGACACTATTCAAGAAAACTTCACATCTTTAGCACCCTTTCTGCTATTGAATTCGTCTCTTCCGTGTATAGTTCAACTGTTTGTACTATAATAGTACACTGAATGACCGACAACAGCAGAAAAATATATGCTTATTGAGTGTCAGAACATGTGTTGTGCAATTATTTGATTTTATTCTTTGCTTGTAACAATGTGATCGAACTTTGTCGTACTTTGTCGTTCTCAATTTGTTTTTTTTTTTGGCAAACAGAACAATCATCATGGAGGGTGTATTTACCTTTCAGCAAATGTACTTTTTTTTTCAAAAGGTCGCACGTTTGTATAGCCCTGTTAACTTATTGTGCGTTCTACTTCCATAAAGTTATTTTTATAATTACTAATGAAAGAAAAGGTAGTTGTGAGAAAAACATTCCTTCATTGAATATATTAGGCGATCGTGTAGAGTAACAATCTACCATTAACAACAAACTACTCGACCTGATCATGAACTACACTGGAAATGTTGAAAGTCCAACTTCCACGACAATTCCTGAAACTGGTAAGGAACAGAGAATTCAACGTCTGGACAAAGCAATCGCTTACTATGGTTCAAGAAAACATGTTATATTTACTGTCCTTGGTCTCGTGTTTGGAATTATCGAACTTTGCTATGGTATACGATATTTAGGACAATGTCCTATTCAGCCAATGATTGCATACTTTTTGACTGTTCATGGAGCTATAATGCTCTTCGAAGTACTAATAGGTATTCTCGCATATATTATTTCTCGTGTAATCTATAATCAATACGATCAAGTAATAGCACGACGATTAATTTTAATTGTAATTGGTCTTTTGATTTTGATCAATCTATTCTGCTTTGCTTGGTTCGTTGCTGGAAATGTATGGGTATTCGGTTCATTAGCGAATGGTAAACAGAGTGATGATAGCACAAATCTAAATACTTACTGTCAATCGGATTTATTTCGAGCTGCTCTTGGAATTATAATATCCAGATATGTTCTGACAGGAGTTATTATTATTATCGCTATCTGCATTAACCGCCGTAAGATCATGCGATGTTGTACACAGGAGAACATATCTTCAAGGAACAACGTCGCGTCAACACCAACAAAAGCATAGTTCTCAAAGAATACACTACTGTTTATGTTTTCCTGCTTACTTGTGATTGAATAAAGTATTGATTTCTCAACCAAAATGATTAGACTGTTGACTAATCTCTCACAAATCATAATAAAACTTTATGAGTCGAGGAGCTCAGTCCTATATGAATGAAATTTTGAAAGTTTGCGAACATGGATCTTCATCCGCACCCTCAATGTATTCATACATTCGAAAGAATTCTTTCCCAGATTTATTCATTTATCGATAGAAAAATAACTTGTACATCATTTATTCTTGCTTTATTTGTTCGAAAGTGGTATATGAACTTTTAATTGTCCATCTTTGTCTAATTCTTTTTTCATTTTGTCAATTATTGCGCCATCGGGCAATGTTGTTAATCGATAAAATCTTGCGCGCTTGGAACGACCGTCCTCTTTACGTATATGTTCACCTTGAACAGTTAATTCGTTGTTCTCTGTTGAAATTTTGATTTCTTCCAATGGACATTTTTTCACATCAATTGTCATCTCTAGTGCTTTTCCATTGCCATCTATATCAACGAGACATGGATGAAAATCTGCATTCATTAAACGCTTGATATAATCAGCTAACGAATCTTCTGGTGTTTGATTCGATTCTGCTGGGCGTTGAGTTTTATCTTCTGGTGTTTGATTCGATTCTGCTGGGCGTTGAGTTTTATCTTTTTTTGTTTCTTCAAAAGCAACTGCTTTCGATGAACTACCATAGGGTACTTCAATAAGAAGGATCTTGTCTGATATCATCTGTGATGTCATACGTGTTGCATCTAAATATTTACCGGATTGAAAAATGGACAGTTAAAAAAAGGTTCTGTTTTACTAACCGGCTTGTTTAGGTAATGAATAGGAATTTTTAACTTTTTGAATGCCACATCCATAATGTTGCTTTTTGTCACCTTGATTAGCTTCGACGGTTATTCTTCCATTTTCAGCTTTTACTTTCACATTCTTTTGATCGAATCCGGCAATATTCACTCGAACAGAAAACTTGTCTGGTTTTTTGCGAGCTGTTGTTGGCTCGAGACACTTTTTATCCTTATCTGCGTCTATATTTGCTCCTGCTGCTGGTTCACTGTCAGGTGCTTTCCTTTTTGATGGTTGAGACTTACTTCTACAACATCGATAACCCATTGGCAGCATACAACAGTCCCACGGACTTTTACAAGCAGATGGAGAACATTTTTTATAACATGCCATTCTGAAAATAAATTAATTGAAAATGAATGCTGAGTTTGTTTCTAACACAAAAATATATACATAAATGTGTACACATATATACAATGATACAGGTTAGAAATAATGAAGTGTAACGTTTCTCATCTGAAACACCGATGCCTGTCACACTTATTTTATTTTGCACATATTTTCCATTCTGTTTTCCTCCTACTGTTGAGAAACAAATTGAAAATATTAGAGGAAAAATTGCATTTCATTTTGCTTCTTGGAATAATCGAAAATGTTGTGCTGGTTTCAATATTGGTACAGCCGGACTGGCACAAATGGAGCACAATCATGTACTCATACTTTCGTTTAGAAAGTTTCACGTAGTCATTACGTAACACCATGTTTTTTTCTAATTACTTGAACTGCTAGTTTTTCAGAGTAGAAACCAGTCTTCTGTATATCTACTGAAATTCATAGAAATTGTCTGATCTGAAAGTGACTTCTACAGAAGGTAACAAGGAATCAACTCTCGTACCCGACCGGAAATTCATGAACACCAATGAAAAGTTAATGAGAACAGTTATTTTTGGAATGCAACATAAAGCCGAGTAAAAGTTCCTGTTTATATTTAGACGATTTTTTATTTTGAACGTTGATAATTCCAACGTTAGTTTTAATACACAAGAGAGGCGGACTTCTTCGCCTTTTCATGCAGAAATTTTGAAGTTATAATTATCAGTAGTCTAATTCTACACTTAATCTCATTAATGATATCTAAGTATAACGCTTGAGATATCGATGCACTTTTCTTTCACTGAGCAGTCCTGCATAAAGCAACGAAACAAGAAATTTAATAAGCACTTTGTCACGATTTCTGTTACTGACAGAGTGTCAATTAGAAACTATTTGTAGACGATCTTTTCTCTTCTATTTTGAAATTTTTCTTCGCAATGGAACACGGAACTACTGGTTTTATCTTAACATTGATTTCTCTTATTCATGGTTCATTCGCAACTATCGTTTCCTTCATAGTTTTCCTAGTTCTTTTGCATCATCAATATACAAATCGAATGAAACGGGATGAACACATTAATTTATTTCTCTTCACCATCATTTATTCATATTTATTCATTTACATTCTCACATTGCTTTCATTCAATGTTCAAACAATCTTAGGTGATCTCTATGACATAAATTTCACTTCATCTTGGTGTACATTTCGAGGATATCTCATTTCTGTCATGTGCTCGGACATCTATCAAATATTTGGCATTCAGGTAATTCGTAACTTGTAAAATGTTTAAATAAAAATCGAAATTTTCTTAGGCATTCTTTCGTCTTTGTCGAATTATTTATCCCCGTCGACGAATGTTTCGAAGCTTTTGGTTTTACTTTGTCTTGGTCTTCGTTCAATTAGCCAAAACGTTTGTTATATTGTGTCCGATTTTAGTTTGGCAAGATATTGATTATCTCTCCAATGAACACTATTGTTATGTGACATTTGACAAGCCTCGAGGAATGATTTACGTTATTTTTACAACATACGGAATTCCTCTTTCTATTTTATTTTCACACTATGTTCGTATCACCATATTTCTTCATCGTTTACCGAATAATCAAACCATGATCATCAGAAGTCAACAAAAGCGAGACTTGATTGCTATTCGGCGAATTTTCATTCATGTTACTTTGCTTCTCACACTTGTTGTACCAGGAACGATTTTGACGTTGATCAGGTTTATTACTGGACAAGATTATCCGCTGACTTTTCGTATTTTATGGTTGGGAAGTGAAGTGTCGATTGCGATATTGACAATCGAAATGATATTGGCAACACCACAGTTGAAAAATCTTTTTCTAAAACCATGGAGACAAAATCGTGTTTCGATGATTGCCCAAACAGTTCAACGAGGAAATGCGACAACAATGCATTTATCTGCTTAGATACAAAGTCTTTCTATCATCGTTTCGGATCGTCACTATAAAGCTAATAAAAAGAAATTTCTGATTTGAGAATGTGTTCTTGTCACAAATCCAAAGGGAGCTTTTCTATCTGTATCTGTCATCAGATGTGATTTAAGGAATGAGGGTGAGCAGAATATTTAAACATCTGACAGTTGAAGAACAGAAAAGTTCAACTATTCAAGATATAGATTTATTGAAATATTCGAAGAACAAAATATAATTATATAAGAAACACTAAATTCACTGGTTCCGGTGTTGTTGAGCTTCTAACCATTCATTGTATTCATTCTCTAATTGAGGATCAGTATTATTTTGCGGTGGACGACGAGGAATTGTTAATGACGATTGATTAGAGTTGGTTGTTCGAAGAAGTGCAAGTTCAATTGATTGATTTTGTACGAATCTTTGTTGATGTGGATGGGATCGCTCCGTATCGTCATACCAATTGCAAGTCAAACCTGTTGTTGTTAAAATCGGAATAATACAAAGAGAAAGAAATAGTTTACAATTGGAACACCAATCTCGCGTATAAGTATAGATAAATGCTGTTATAAAAAGTAGTAAGGCATATATTAAATGCAAAATAGTTCGAAAAATGAGTTGGCTTCGTGTAAGCATTCGAATCATTGTAACTGAATTGTAGATGAAAAGAGTAATAGCAAGAAGAAAAGCTACAGCCAAGAAAAAGGTGGATACTGGCTCAACAGCTATATCACAAATGGGTAAATAGTTTCCGCTAGAGTTTTGTTTATATGAACAATTAGCATAGAGTTCCAACCATGTTTGACTATTTTGAGAAGTGGAATTAACAGGAGGAGATGAGTCATTACGATGCGGTCGTAATCGAACATATAGAAATAAGAATGGAAAGAAATCAGCAAAAGAAATAATAGCAGGTAAACAACACCAATGAATGTCTTCCAATTCTGATGATCTTGTATGAGTTCGCTGATGGATATTTGTACGAGACATCAGATTATTTAAAAACAATCAAAATGAAATCATTTTCATGTTAATGCATTGATAGGAAAGCAAATAAGAGGAGATTTGGTTCGATTATACAGTTAACCTTTGCTATATATGATACATGTACGATGTACATTCGTACTGAACGTATATCTTGACCTGATGACCGATGTAGAATCAAGAGAGTGTGCGGTTGATGTTAAGGGAACAACGACCAAGTGAGGATGAGAGAAATATCTGAATAACAGAATTCAACTTTCAAGTTTAACACTGCTGTCAATTTATTGAGAACGTATGCACAAACAACAATTATGATTATATATATAGACTTGTTTCTAGTTTATGTTATAGACATAACTCGTGTTGTTTGCCATTGTAATTTTAACACTCGTGTCATTCTAGTTTTCAATTCTGGCAATGTCAATGCACATACAAACGGATATAACAGAATTACAAAATAAGTAAAGAAATTAATATAAAGATAAAAGGCACCGATGAAATAACTTGATATGCCATAAATATACCGTATGATATACACTACTGTAAAGGGCAGTAGAATGATAACATACAAAAAAGCAATTGATAATGCTTGAATGATCATTTTGCGATGTTGCTGCCAATTAAGTGCACGACGCATTCGACGCTTTTGCAAGAAAACACGTAGAATCAAACCACTGCTAAATACTGTAATGATAGCAATTGGAACTATTTGATGTGCGATAAAATCCCACATGGAAAGTGTATAGTTGTCGTATAAACATGGATAAATACAAATAAGTGACCAAGGACGAAAACGGTTTTCACAAGGTGGAAAGAAATACACAACAAAATAAAAGACAAACCAATAGAGAAGAAGTGCTATGAGAGGAACATAATGAACTAAGAACCGCTTTCTCCTTGTTGATATCCATGATTCATGAAATATCAAAATATGCCTTTCAATCATTGCCCATGCAAAGACCATTGTATGGACAATATAAAGTGACCAATCAATGAATCCAATGAAGAGACAGAACATGTATGATCGTTGCCAATCAGTTTCATGTGTAAAATAATAAAGCATCCACGGATAAAACGTTACTTCGTCAATCAAACAAATGACGAGAAGAACGATAATGACATGATTATGAAGACCACGACGCAGAGCTCGATCGAATAGAAGATGATACAAAACAAAGATTGAACAGATTAATGATGGGACAAGAGCGGCAAGAATAACCCAAAATTTTACCATATCCGGTAATACTACTACCATTGTTTCTGTCAGAAACTTTTCTTATCCTATGTTTAATATAGAAGGAAAATATGAAAATGAGTATGTGTTGAGAGGAAGGTGGAAGTTTATAATGATAAATCTTTTTCTACATCTCCTATCGGTTCACTGATAATACGGGAATTGTTTTTGTTTTATATTCAGCTGTCACTTTATAATGAATGCCGTCTGGGCTTTTTTTTATTGACGAAACTATAGGAATATAAAGCATTAGTGTTGCAATATAAGTGCCTTTTTCTGCTCAGTCGGCTTAATCTGGCATCTTAGTTGTTCTAAGATACGTTTCACCTCACTTATCATGCCAATATGCTTCTACGACTTCGTTAATATTTTAGATTGTAAGATAATGGAACGTTTCATCATTGACGGATAAGAGAAACAGCAAAATATTTATCCACGTCATAATATACCTAAAGAACGTATATATTTTCAGATTCATAAATATGGACACCGAGTTGGTGGATCTGAATCATGTTCAAACTGATAGGACGTGTACGTGTCAGATTCAATTTCTATGCATATCTTGTCGAATGAAGCGGTGGTCAGACAAATAGCTGTTGATTAGTAAATAAGAAATTCTTCATGATACAACTACTTTATCTTCCGATAACTCAATTCAAATTCATAGAATTACTTCATGAAGTCTTTTCTTATGTTATAACATGAGTTTCCGCATCTGGGTGTTAGTACAGCGACATTACGCATGAAATGGGTGATGATATTTATGCCTCGTTTGCTTTCCAAATAAAGAGAATTTTCATTCTATTATGAAGAACGATGGTTTTATATAGGTCAAATTTATTGATGCTGTATAACGACGATTCAGCGGGACATCTGATTGTTTATGTTCTTCTCAGCTTTCCCAATAGCAGAATACGCACGTGTTTTATTGAAATAGCATCTGATTAGCCAACAGATCATGGGAATAATGCAAATTTGGAAGATAGGAAAAGTAAAACCAAATAACTCGATGACAGCTATAGTGAATAAGATATTATGAAAAGCCATTTCGTCTTCTTGAACAATTGAGTATTGTCGATTAAGAATAAAAAAAACTGTGTTTCACTCAAATCAATCGTCAGAGAAACATATATGAACAGAAGTAGCTCATATTCACCTAGCAAATCTTAGAGAAATTCATCCGACATTCCTTTAGTTGTAATAGTATAGAAATGAACAGGCCAAAATATAGAAGCAGAATCTCATGAGAACCGGATTTCAATGTAATCTTTACATCAGAACATGTTTGTTCGCTGAGTAGTCTTGTACTAAATTTAGCGTTACGTATATCTTTGTCATATGTCATCGGACGAGGTTTCGATTGGATAACAATGAACGTAGGTGCCGCGCTACAAGAAAAATAGCGACGATGATCATAACTAATGCATAGAACAATAGTAAACTCTCAATCCACATTTTTCCTTGACCAATTAAGTCTTTTGTTCTGGAGATTTTGTATTACTAATAAATAATGTTGCATACTTTTCGGAAGTCACCGAAATACTCCTGCCAAAGTTATTACAAACATAATAATGGAGAGACAAATATACATTGTACAGAGCCGGTATGTAATCGTAACATGGTCCAATCGATGTTACCTGTTTAAATATTCCAGCAAAACGGACACGCGACATATTGGCATCTGTAGAAAAGTGTCAGAATACTATTGAACTTCAATCGTACGGCTGTTGTGTACATACCTGGTGGTTTGAATGGGACCGGTGTTCGAGGTGTAAAGTCGAATAAATGTTGGTCATTGTTCCGAAGATGTGTCCAAAGTTTGTTGGCTGTTCTAAAGATGAACTTATCACAAAACGTGTTGAACACAAGCATTTGAGCTGAATGGACTAGAACAGCAAACGAAGTACTATCAAGTCAAACAACTGATGTACCGAACATGCCATCTGTTATTCAAGATATATTCGAATTAGCAAGCTTCACAATAACATTAGTCGCTGTTCTCAATAGAGATCTTCGTAAAACAAGGTTGTACATTGGAATACCAACAAGTATTTGATTTTGAAGATTGACACTAATCACAATATCATTACGAATCAATGTAAGATTGAAACAGTCAACAAAATGCCAATGTTCGATTCATATTTTCACCTGTATATATAAAGAACGAAGAGTTTCCTGGTGACACAACAATATTTTGTACATAATCATCTGAATTTCGATCATTTGTATGACAACGTTATAAGGTTGTTAATGATGAGATCGAAAATGTATTGAAACCAATGAAAAATTGTCGAAGATCATTCCGTACAATAGCCGTGAATAAATTCTCATTAATATTCATTCGATTCTCAAAAATATCGAACTCATTCACATCTATTTTAATAATCAATATAATGAAGAATATTTCAAGCATTGTAAATCTTTTTCTATTTGAAATAACATGTAGAAATGAATATGTTAAATGATGCTCTAGTTTACATAAGCGTAAATCATTTCAAGGTGTATAATTATCCAATTGATTCGCAATTTAATCATAAATACGTTAGTTCTATCTAATATCAAAATAAAGTCAGATAATTCATCGAATCCTCATTTTTTTTTTGCAAATTATCCATTAGAGATGCTGATGGAAACATCGTAGGTACGATAAGTATCCCCAAAACATTATTTTATAAGAGAGCGTATAATTTCCAGTACACATTTTCCTGCGAGAGATTTTGAAGTTGATCGTCTAACAAAAATGAAGGAGAACTTTCTGTAAAATTTTGCATTGGAAAGAAGAAGATTTACAACGATCTGTTCTCTTTATCGGATCGTAAAAACACATTAGGTGCTCGATGATGAGATCGGCTTCATAATGCACATTGATATTTATCATCATCAGCGGAAATCAGTATTTTGGAGAAACTCGTTAATAACAATAAATTCCACCTTTCCTTCAAATAAACGGAAAGATTCTATGCGTTTGTTCACCCTCTGAGTATACGACAAAACAGCAAGGAGAAAGATTTTCTTTGTTTGTGTAATTGAAGGAAAAGAAAAGAGAAAAAAAAACCGTTTGATATAACTCGTTGATTTCCATGACAATGTTCTAATTTTCTTTCAATATTGTTTTGCAATGGGTGGTTGTGCAACCCGTCGTTCAGCAGTTGAAATTTATCCAATTCATCGTCGTATTTCGATTATCTCAAATGAATCGAAAAATGAAAAGATGTCAATCGATACAAAAAACATCGTTGAGTTATTTGATCAACTTACTGGAGATATAAAAAACTTTCGTATTCGTTTAAATGAAAATCATATTCAAATCAATGAATTAATTCATATGGATCTACTAAATCATAAGTTAATATTCTTATTGAAAGAAACTCTTCTGAATATTTTAATAAAATGGACATCATTTTCATTAACTGACGATGAAATGAATCTTTTTCGAAATATTTCCATGTTTTTCTTTGAAATCAGTCAATGTTTTAATCGGCACACACCAATGAATGTTTATCAAAGTTTTTTATCCACGATGCCATTTATTGATTTGCTCAATGAATGTCTAATCAAAATGTTATTAAATGGCAAGCATTTCGATGATAAACATAATTTGAAAAGTTTCACTTATCTTCTGAATACGTTTCGAAATTTTCAAACAAATTCAAGTCATTCAATCGATGAAATTCCTTCATTATTTCCGCTGATTCTATCAGTTAATAATCTTCTTCGTTCGAATTACTATTTCGAAACATTTCTTCACTTATCATCCGATATATCCGAACTGACCGAATTCGAAGATTTCATTTTAGACAAATGTTCAATGTTCATCATTTCTTACAAAGGTAAATCTTCGACGGAGGTTCACGACGATCTACTTGAACAAACATTTGATCAATACATTCAAATCTTCGAACATTTTCTACCTCATATTCAATCCTGGTCAACATCATTCATTCTTATTTTCACACATATGGTCGATATCATGATCAATGCATCAACCACAACACAAACTCATATCTTTCAACAACCGAAACTCATTGATTATGCTTTAGTCATCGTTAGCAATGATCAACTTTGTTCAAATTTGGATTCTTTCACTCTTACGCCGCAGATCTGTTTGATGAATTCGATTCTAACAGGTTTACATAATATGATTTATGAGCCGAAACTTTTAGCAATGTTAAAACGGAAAACCATGACTAAGATTTTCTTGAAGATCGCAAATACCGCGTCATACGATCGCATACAAATTCATTCATATTTGATTTTAGCCGGAATTTTAAGTGAAGATGAAATACAAAAATTGAACAATGCTAAAGAAATTACGAAAATTTTCTACAAATATTTACGTAAAGCGATCAAATCAGAAGAGAAAACGTTCAAAGGTGTGACGGTAATGGCAATACTTTCAGGATTGAAGACACTTGTTCAACATGAAGAAATTAAAGAAGCAATTCGAAATGAGGATCAAGAGTTGCAATTACTTTCCGAAATGGTTTTTACGAGTAATGAACAAGAATTAACTGAAGTCTTGAGCATTTTGTGGACATTATCATTTAATGAAAATGTCGCATTGATTATCCGAAAGAATCAGCGATTAATCAATCAAATTCGAATGTTAGCTACGAGATCAAACAGGTAAGTGATCGAACAAGCTCAAGTTTTCAACCAAGTTCATCTTTTAGTGAATCGATAAAAATGAACAATATCATTTGCAGTGCAGCTGAAGGAATTTTATGGCAAGTTGAAGATGAAGTTACTCTTCTCGAATGTAAAAAAGAAGTTCAAGATGATCAACTTCATCATAGTTCAATACCCGAATTATCACTAAGAAAGAAAAAATACGATATAATGATTAGTTATTCTCACGATGACAAACAAATTTGTCATAGAATCGCTGATTCTCTTGTTAATGATGGATTTCTTGTTTGGATTGATAAAAATAACATCACCGGTTCCACAGCCGTTGCAATTGCCGATGGAATTGAAAATAGTGAAATAGTTTTAATCGGAATGACTTTTAGTTATAAAATAAGTCCATGGTGTCAAAGAGAAAGTAATTATGCATTTCAAAGACAAGCGAAGATCATTCCATTGAAACTACCGCCTTCATATACTCCCGATGGATGGCTTGGATTACTCTTAACTAATTTGAAATATATCAACTTTGTTAAATTAGATTTCGATATCGCCTATGAACAATTGAAACGAGAAATTGAATCATGTAAACAACAAATAAATGTTTCTCATGTCAATGCACCAAATGTGACAGTTATTCAGGCAATGATCGACTCTAAACAAGGAGAATATGTTTATCCACCTGAATCGAATGGTTTGTACAAAGCAATTCCAATGGAAAATTGGACTAGTGAAAATGTGAAGGATTTTCTGAATGATAAAAAGTTGTATCCGTTTAATTTACTCTGTAAAGATATGAATGGTTCGGCACTCATCCAATTATACAAATTATCAAATGAAAATTCAACATTAGCTTTTGAATCTTTACAGAAACAACTATCGAATCAATTTAATCATCATCATTTATCTCCAATTGATTATTCAAGATTTATCGGTGAAATAAAATCATTCAATGCACCGTCAACACAATCACATCTTTGTGTAGTTATGTGATTAATTATGTGAAGTGTGTGTCATATCGAGATTATAACTACGAAAATCTTTTTCTTTCAATTGAAAATAAAAAATACTAGTTTTACGAGCGACAGATCTTGGGTGAGAATATGAGTATAAGTCCGTTTCATTCTCAAGATATTCATCTGACTATTGTTAGAACAATAAATGTTTCCCAACGTTTTCTCATAATTAGAAACTGAAATATTCAGTGGTTTTTAATTTTCTTTTGATGCCAATCACAAATGAATTCAGTTATTGTTCCTCATTTTTCTTAATCTACTTGACTTAAATTAGAAATTATTTCAAAGTCTTTCTTTTATTTTTCTAGTCTACGTACTACTATAACAAAAAGTTCTAAGTTTGTACAAAGTTTACTGAAATGATTAGTAATTGTCCAAAATATTTTCAGGTAAATTATATTGCGAATATTATTATAATCTTTCCAAAGATCACCTATATTTTATTCTTCTTTATGAGAGTTGAAATATACGCGCAAGAAAAATCTATTCCGATTATACTGTAACGATGAAAAAAAAACGAGCATCAGCTTATAATGGGTAGGAAGACAAAAAAAACTTGCTTTATGTTCTCGTTACCTAACTGTCGATGACTCGTTTCATATGATAGAACGAGAAGAAAAAAAATCCTTCGTTTTTACTGTTTGCATTGAAACAAGGCCGTGAAAAAAGAGGAATATCGACATCATATAGAGTCTCTGTTTACCATGTGTGAAAGTTACTTTTAACAATGCTTCCCAACAGAAAAAACCAATCCAACTGTTTATCTCGATGGTGGAATCAAAACTACCATCATCAAAAACGTCTCGAATCATTTCTTGAACATGCACTTTTTCATCTTTTTATCATCATACTAGTCGTTGCAGAATGTGCATCTGTTATAACCGAAATTCTTCTTTATAGTGTTAAACGTCAGTATGAATGTCACAATCCTCAGTATTCTTATTCAAGGGCTGATATAGAGAAGAAAACGCATCATCTTGACCATGGAATTGAAATATGTCACTATGTGTCATTGAGCATCTTATCGATATTTATGATCGAATTGCTTTCAAAAATATATGCACTCGGTTTTCATTACTGGAATTGCAAAGAAAATCATAAATTAGATTATTTTGATGCATTTTTGGCAGTTGTTTCATTTTCAACAGAAGTTTATTTTCTGATTGTTGACAAAGAATCTATTATTGCGCACTCAGCTGCTCTTATTGTGATACTTCGTTTGTGGCATCTTTTAAGAATTGCTAACGGTTTGTGAATATTTAAGTATTATCTATACTAAGCGAGAAAGATTTTATGTTTCAGCTGTAGCGCGATGTCTTCAGAAAGGTGAAGAATTTAAAACAATTCGTCGACAACGTCGTTTGTCAAAAACTTCGGAGACCTTACTCATTCCGTCAAGTATTCAAGCAATACTTGATTTAATGCAAGAAAAAACTGAATGTTTACGACGTGATATTAGTGTGGAACAATCGTTAGTAGATCGTTGTGAGTTTATTGATCAAAAATGTCAAGATGCTTTTGACAATTATTATGGTGATGAGACAAAACTTGTTGAAGAAATTCAAAAGCTCCATCTGATTACTAGACGAACACAATTAAAACAAACAAACGAAACCAACATTTGAATTTATATGACAGTATACTTCGCAGGATTCGCTAATAGATTCTTAGAAAGCGATTTGCATATCGGGCGTATGGAACGTAGACAGTATGTGATCATCATGCAGAGACAAGACGAATAAAAATAGTTTTACTCCATTATAATTATTTAAACATCAAGTTAGAAGATACAGAATTTAATCCAGAATTGGTATGCTTGTTGACAAAACCTCTATAGAGTGAAATTTCGTGATATTGGAACCTGTCGAATGCCTTCCGTCGCACTGTATGGACAAGAGTCGAAGGAATTTGTATTGTATAGTCTGAATATTCCAACAAAGAGTCTTTTTATAAATTGAAAGCAAAGACTTTTTCACAGTTTACACGAGAGCTGCGCAAAGGCTCCTATAGTAAATCATTGGTTAAATCGTGTGCTTCTTTTCATAAACTTTGAACTGGATATCGATAGACCATTATATCATCATTTGTACCATACTTTTAGGCATAGTGTGATGACTGCGCTTAACCCTTTCCGCCATCGTGAGCTTATGCCTCCATCATAGTCAGTATGTAAAACGAAACAGCTGTCGGTATTTTAAAGCACAAAATGTGTCATGCTTTTTTTCCAATTCCAAGCAGAATCTCAGCTCGAAGCAAAATAAAAAGAAATAAGCTTTTATCTTTCTCAATTGTGTTTCAAATGTGCTTGGCTGCCGATTTTCTCTCGTGTGCATTCGATTATACTAGTGCAAAGTTTATCACATACAGTGAAATTCCAGAAAATCAATCGTACTTGAACTGGACAACGCTAATGCGATACCGATCTGATGTTGAAGACAACGAAATTCCAGTAATCGAGTCCACTGAACAGCAACTGACCACACTGGATAACGATGATATGAGATTCGTCAATAGAGAAAGTATTGCTTTGATATGGTGTGATGTCCAAGTAGACGAACGAAATGAAGCGTTTGTTAATGATGTTCAGCAAACGAAAGCAATTCTTCGTGAACTAAATGATTTCGTTCATTTTTGCTCCAACGAAACTGACTGCGTCGCTCACGTCAAGACATTTAAGACTGAAACAATCATTTTGATCATATCCGGCTCATATGCATCGGAAAAACTACTCGATGACATGCACACGCTTCGACATGTAGATACTATTTTCATCTTTTATATGGAAAAGAGCAAATACGAAGCGTCGCCCGTATTGCAGAACCCAAAGTATACCAAGATTGGAGGTATCTTCGATGAGCAAGAAAGTTTAAAACGAAACATCATCAAAGCAGTGCGAGCAATTGAAAGGCAATCAGCCATTTTTGCACTCTACGATTCAAAGAAACAGAAAACAGCGCGTAATATCGATCGTGAGAATGGTTCATTTCTATGGCTACAGCTGATCAAGGAAGTGATTCAACAAATGTCTATTACCATTGAGACACCCGGAAGTGCTAACGTAAGAGATTCTACTAGCAAGCAGGAAATGCTCAACATATGTCGTGCTTATTATCGAGGTAATAAGCGAGAGATGAAAAATATCGATGAATTTGAGCAAACATACACGGCTAACCAGGCGATTCACTGGTATACGAGAAACAGTTTCATTTTCAAATTAATCAACAAAGCACTCCGCACGGAAGATGTGGAAGCGCTTTACAATTACCGTTTCTACGTGGTCGATCTATGTGCTTGTTTGGCAGAAAACTGTGACTTGTTACGCGAGTATGCTTGTTCATCACCAAGTGATAAGCTGAAACTATATTCGGGCCGCAAGCTGTCTCGAGAGGAGATTCAACGCTTGAAGGATAGCGAAGGACAACTGATCTCCATGAACGCGTTTTTTTCTACAAGCCGTAATAAGAACGTAGCTGAAGTGTTTGCTGGCATCGGCAACGTTAGCGTTGCATTGCAAGAGCTAGAATCAGTCATTTTCGAAATCGAGGTCGACTTAGTCAGTGACCAACATGTTGTACTAGCAGACATATCTTTCTACAGCGCATTCAAAGACGAAGAAGAAATTTTATTCGATCTGGCAACGGTATTCGAGATTGAGGCAATGACTTGCATAGATACTGATGTTCCCTCTGACAGAGTATGGACGTGTCGTATGAAAACGTCCAGCAGGAGCAGCGTAGTTGCTCAAGATTATATTCAGTTTCAACGGGAACAGATAAAAAAACACAACGATATTGTTATAGTTTTCGGATCTCTCCTGTACGATATGGGTGCATGGAGCAAAGCCAAAGCATATTGTCAAAGATTGCTAAGTCAGATGCCGTGTAACGCCCATGTTCTCTTCGAGCTCGGCCGGGCTCACTATGGATTATGCGAATTTGAACAAGCACTTGAATGCTTTGCACAAGCCTTCACTCTTTCAATGGCCGATAAACCGCCCAGCTTGGCCCATGCTGCAACGATACAATGCTATATAGGGCATGTCCGACGTCTTCAATCTACCTACCATTCAGCGTTGATTAGCTATGAAGATTCTTTGGAGAAATACAAGCAAGCAGGTATGGATAATCAAGTACCTATTGCTAATGTATTAAGCGGCATTGGATGTGTGCACGATAACCTTGGTGACAGTGCTCTTGCACTGCAATACTTTCGTGAGGCGTTTGAGATTACCATACAATTAACACCTGCCGACCATCAAGATGTCATTGTATGTTACGCACGAATCTCGCTTGCTCTATCACATATGGGTGAATATGATGAAGCCCTGCGCTCAGCAGAAATAGCATTAGACATCGGTAAACGCATACTACCAAAGAAGAGCGCTACGTTCAGTACTATACTCAACAACATTGGCAAGCTTTTATATAAAAAAGGCGACTACAAACAAGCTCTAGCACGACATCTCGAAGATCTTGACATAGATCGCGACGTATTGACACACGGAAACATGTACGATTTAGCCATTCGCTATAACAACATTGGCAAAATCTTCTATCGAACAGGGAAATATAGCGAGGCTTACGAACAGTATGAAAAAGCATTAATCATCCACCAGAAAACACTTCCAAATGATCACGTCTATATCGCATATACGCTGAAAAACATGGGCGAATTATTCTTGGCTCAAGATAAACTTGACCAATCAACCGATTATCTTCATCATGCATTGGAAATGTACGAACGTATCTTTTCTGATAATCTTCTGCATCCAGAAAAAGCCAAGTGCATATATCTGATTGGTCAACTGTACGAGGCACGTCTTGATCACCAAACGGCCATTTCCTTCTATCGTCAAGCTCATAGCATATGGAAATCAGTATTGGTGGCTCAACATCCTGACTTGACTTTAAGTCCCAGAAAAATGTCTCAACTTTTCTGGAAACTACTTCGTCGATCGATAAGACAGAAATGACGTTGCATGGCAGTTTAAACATTAAAAAAATTGATTCTACAAGACTTTCTTCATGTTCGACTACATTTATTCATATTTCACGATGAAAAATAAAAGCAAAAAAATTCCAAAATATGACTTCATCGTTCTTATCGTAGCAACTAAATATTAGTTGTTTTATTCTTCTTTGTTACGTCAAATTACCTCATTCGTTGACGAAACACGTGTGTGAGTCATAAAGAATATATAAAAACATGTTTTTTTCATTTTATTTTATTACAGCTGTAAATGGATGCCTCTACTATTCAAACCATCTTAGGAATACTTCAATTAAAAGAAGACGATGTAACCAATATTTACCACCATGGTTCATGGGTTTATGGTACCAATTCGACGAAATCTGACCGTGACCTTCTCATCGTAACTCGTTTATCGAATAGTCAAACATTCAAATACTGGAATGACTTCGACTATTTTCATGAAGTATTTCGACATTATAAAATCTTGGATAGATACGATGTTTGTGTTTACACAGCTGACGAACTTGAAGTTTTATTAGAAAAAAATTATTTGTTGGTTGTACAATGTCTTTTCGTACCTGATGAATTTCAATTGAAAAATGAAGTTGATTTTCGAAAAATTTATTTGGACAAATATTATGATAAAATGAAAATTAAACGAGCAGGATTCTACGAAATGTATCGTGATTGGAAATTGTATAGACGACAGGACGACTTATCACACGATTCAACGCTCAATGAAAGATATTTATCAAGACGAGATTATATTCTGAAACATTTCTTTCATGGTCTAAGATATTTAGATTTCGCCGATCAATTAATTCGAACACGTTCAATCTATGATTACCGACGTGTTACCAATATTTTTCATCAAATGAAAGAAATTCTTGCGAATTCAACGAATTTGGAAAGGTAAGAGACAACTCGTAAAACCATTCGTCATAGAATGAAATTTATCTTTAAATATTTGTTTTCTAGCGTAGCAGCGTTTACTGATTCGAAAAGAATGGAATTTCAATCACGACTGGATGAACTTGTACCAACAAACAACATCAAAGGATCATTTGAAGTATCTGTTACATTCAATTGTTACGAAAATATTGAAAATTTGAAGAAAATTTGTGACGAAAATAATCGTTTTAAATTTCATGTAGAACAAATGATTATCTCAGCTGAATATGAAGGACAATGTCCATTCATAATTCAACAAATTGAAAGACAAATCTATGAAACTTTCCGAGAAGTGAATGTTGAACATATTAAAATTGAATCATTAATCACTAATGATGGTTTACCTGATACATCAATCGATACAAAATTATTTTGGAATCGACCATTTCATTTCACATTTTATTATCAAATACCATTTGACAAAGATCGAAAAGGAATGCTAATGACAAAAGCGGTCAATATTTGTCGATCGAAATTTGAATTGAATCCAAATGATTTGGATTTATTAGAGAAGCAATGGAATATCATTACAGATGACAAAACTTATTATGTCAATGTTGTTAAAATATTCAATGTTTATCGAGAGAAAGCAATGCAAATCAATGATGGAATTATAAAACATGCAGCCGAGAATCATTTATTACTGACACCAATCAAACAGATGTTTATGGTTTATGAGAAAAATAATCATTCGGACGGTATTTTTACGCGAAGAACATTGATATAGAATCAATTATTGACCTTTTTGCGCTATTTGTCTTCTTACAATCTGATTCAGAACGTTCAAAATTATCCAGAATATGAGAACAATCGTAAAGATAAATTCCCTTAAGAATCCAAATGGATTATGAGGTCACTGTTTTTTCAGTTTGATGGAGAGAAATATCGAAAAGCTACTGATTGGTGTTTAGTTGTCATCCCATGTAGTAAGAAAATAATTTTAATAAATATGTTTATCTCTCCATTCTGAATGGAATCGGTAGCGTCACATGCTCATGAAAATACCGGATGGTTCAATGCTATATACTCTGTCGTAGTTCAAAAGACGTTCATTGAAGTCTATACTTTATAATATTACGTGAACGAAAAAACGATGAGTAATGCATCATCTCGCTCTACACATGTACATGATGTATTTACTGCCGTTGTTCTTCTCTTTGAGCTATGGCAATACTTTTGATGACTGATGTTACTCTATCAGTTATACTTGCTTAAAACGACAACTAAATCAAGAAACGAATGGTCTACCTGGTACAAAACCTCAATTACTGTTTGGTAATTCATTACATTCAGGTGTTATAACCGGAAAAAGAACTTTCTCTGAAGTTATGCACGATTATCAACAAAAACATGGTGATAAGTTGTATTTCTATGGCTGGGTGTCCATCCACTTCTTGTATTCTGTTTATTTGAACAAGCTAAAACTCTATTAACTGACCGACAGATTTTCGAACGATCATCTGTATTTTTATCAAACTTTGACAATGGTCGTTATCGGATTCGTTGCATTTGATTATGATTAAGCGAGCGAAATGAATTCGAAGACGAAAATTATGTTTGAAGATTTTGTTTCTGTCGTAGTAGAGGTCATGTACCTTGCAAGTTTACCTCAATGAGTGGCGAAATTGTATTTGAAATATCACAGAACGAATCGTCTTCTTCGAGAATTGATGGAGAATATTGTTGAATAAGAACGTCCGACAAATTCGATCTCGTCATTAAATAAAGAAACCGGTGATGAACAGATTTCCTCAGGTTTAACACGATCGGAAACGTTTGCTGAAGTGTTAACAGCATTAGTCGCAGAATTTGAGACAACAGCAACAGGTACAGCGTGGCCTATATTTTATCTAAGTAAAAATCCTTATGTGGAACAAAGAATGATCTTTTACTGTCAAACGATGTTCAATCCTTATCGATATTAACGAAAGAGAAACTCGACGCATTAACATATTGTGAACTTCTTACAAAAGAAGTTTTTCGTTTGGCTCCAGTTGCTAGTGTCACAACACGTCTTGCTTGTCTTGGACGAGATTTAGTATGGTTAGAATTAAAAATTGTTAGTGTTCGATTAATGCAACGTGGGATAACATTTGAAGGCACTCCTGAAACTATCGGTGGTTACGAAGAACGGTTAACCTGTTTTCCAAAGAAAATGGCTGTTCGAATTCGTATTCTATCATAAAACTATCGAGAAGTTTCTTTTTAGCAAAGTAGATAAAACAAGCAAGCAAGTTCGTTGTTCACTTATTCCATCATTGTGTTTGTTTTTATATGTAAAGTGTTCATTCGATCTAGCGTAAAGCTTTTTAGCGCAGTGGTTCTGAATTGAATCTCCACTAAACTAAAAAAGAGCGTCTCATATTTTAGTGTTGTAAAGGTAAACGATCAGTCTGCATTTATGATATTATTTAGTAAAATATTAAAGAATTTCCAGTCGGTAGAGTATAATTTTACTGTCTCTAATCTGTTACAGCTGCTGGTTCGCATGAGAAATCTCTTCGTCAATGGAGAAAAAATTGTTACTCATCGTGTACATTTATTTGTGAAAGCAACTCTCGTTTACAGCGCTAAAAGATGGTCAACATTATTTGAAGCGTAGAAATATGCGACATTTTCACTACTGGTTGTATCTGATTCATCATCATCATCATCGCCCATCACTCGACCATTTGATATAGTCATTTTCAAAGATGGAAATAAATATGTTCCACCTTCATCTAAAATCGTCGGTTCAATACGAAGCTTTTGAGTCACTGTTGTCATCTCGTCACCAAATTTGATTACGACGCCATTTATTTCAATATCAATTCCATGATGAATTTCAAGTTCTTTCAAACAATTTGATGATATATCATAACTTAAAACAAAAAACACTTCATTATTATGATAAATATCTCGTTTTTGGCTAAGTTCCACTTCGTCATAAAGTCGATCATCTTTCTTGTAAGAATATTCTTTTAATATTGTTTTACGAATATGTTTGCGTTGATCATTCCATGTGATTGTTCTCTGTCCCAAATGATCATCAATAGTAAAGCCAACGTCCGGTATATAAATCAATTTCATTTTATTTCAAATGTAAAAAGCGTCGACATCTTTTATACCTTGTACTTGCATCACAATGGCGCAATTCACACGAAAGATAATACACAGATAAACAATTCTTTTCTGATGAGCGTGTGTCTCAATACACAATAAAGTATAAGTACACCTAAGAATAATATTCTTCCTTCTAATCATCAATACTGGATTAACATACTTCATGAGAAAAACATGAATGATGAGCTATGAATTTTGATTGTTTTTTATGGCCAAGAATTTGCCAATTTTAACATTTAGTGAAATTTTGTATCGTGGTAGCTTTATGTTATACACAAACTTCATTTATCGCACAGACTGAAATACGTTACATAGGTTGTGACCAAGATCAACAAGAACAAATGACGCAAATTATGAGGAGAAATCCTCATGATACATATATATATATATACGTATATACGTCAGCAGTTCCAAAAGTTATTGATTGGCAAATGTACTTATGTTCTACAGTTTTTGCTATTCGCTTGGATCATCATTGAAAGACATATTCTCATTTTTTGTGATCATTTATCATCAACTTGAAAGAAGCGAATATGTTTTCATTATCTCCCACCATTTATAATAATTCTTTACTGCTTGATCTATTATACTTTAAATTTTTTTGCTTCACAATGCGTTAATAATTTCCATAATCTGAAACGATCTGTTTTTTTTCCTGGTGCATTTAACAATACCACACTCTTTCTGTATGATATAGTAATTCACAGAAGAAAAAGTAAACCAAAACTTGCTTTACATCAGACGTTCTGCTTTTATCACCATCACCCTTATCCTGCTGGCTATCTTTAATTATATGAAAAGAACATAAATACGAATCAAGATTGTATTTAGTTGGAATAGAAGGAAGCGTCTTCCACTTTAATTCGTGTTTAAAACCGTGCGAATATCGAGAGAATAAAAAAATAGAGGGAGTTATAAGATAATGTGATATTCAAAGTTTCTTTATGCAAATACCATATGGACGAACATCTTTGTCACTAGGATTTACCCAGTATTCATCGACATTAGTTTGATTATTTGATACTTTTAATAATGTCTTAGGATTCACACGGTTTTGTAATATAATTAAATATTGAATATTGCCATGTGAGAATTTGACAGCATACCGTTCGGCTACTTCTAAATCTGGTGTTGAATATACACCGTATTGAAATGCAAATGTTTTGCCTTTGGTTAATTCAAAGCCGTCTATAGCAATCGTTCGAGCTTGATGAAAGCCAGTTCCATGATATGATACAGGCCATTCACCATTTTTATCACTATCACCCAACCAAACCATATTTTCAAATTTGTCAGATACTTTAATCGCGAAGCGTTTCCATCCACAAGGTCGAACATAAGGCATTGATCCCCTTGTGAATACTCTATTGTTATCTTTTATCCTTGTAAAGTCGTGATCATATTGTGGATCCATGCTGGCAGGGTCCAAGACTAGTTGAGCTCCATCTCGCGTGCGAGTTAATACATGAAGAGTACATCTATCTTGTATTCCATACTCATGTAATCGTTTTTCATTCGTCAATGTCTTGCCGGCAAAAACGACGCGTCCTTCATTAGACAGTACCTCATTCGTGTTCTGTAACGCGTTTGTTACATGCTCAACAGTTACATTTGGATCTACATTAACTGTTATTTCCTTTCCAGACGACATTTTCGCATAGATTTCTATCTGGCGCACCGCAGTATTCAAATCTTTTTTTGTATTTGTTGCCTGATTCGCGGATCCATCACCCACTTGACCATACGAATATGTTTTATCGTGATAATCTAATAGTGAAACATTCTCCTGGTCTACTGATGATCTTCGAGTAGATAATCGTAATTGTAGAGGAACGCCCATAATCGCAGATATACCGGCAACTAATACATCCTGATCGGTCGTGGTACGTTTTGCTGAAGACATAGATGATACAAACCGATTATCTATTTTTAAAAAACATAATATTAGCTATTGGTTAGAAGGATGATACATTATATTCCCTAATGTTGCAAAATCATGCTTTCACTCTCACAACGACAAAAAATAAAAGTGTGGAGATAGTCAAGACTTTGTGTAAAAGAATAAGAAGAAAACAAGTCGTGAGATTTGATGATGAATCTTATCTGTTGTAATGATAAGAAATGCAAAATTACCAACAAAGGCATTCTTCGAAAAGAAAAGTTCTGTAGTATATTGCATACACAGTTACTGAGACACTTCGAATTGAGAATAAATTTTCGGACAAATTCAGTTGATCCTTCATATGGTTGACGTTGGTGTAAGGAAGTGAAGGCAGCCATCATCACACTCTTCACATCTACCCATTTTAAAGTACACACATTTATATCTTAAACTATGAAGTATCTTTCTCGAGCACTGTATTGCATGCAATTTGCATTCTCTGCTGCATGGCCTATGTCTGCTCTAGTTCCAATTAACTTGAGGGATATCACGTTTACAGTAAGAGATCACCAATGGACTAACGGTAAGCCAAAGATCTTGTTATTATTAGCTTGAAAAGCTCAAAAAGTGAGCCCGAAAAGTTTATTGAAACACTGACACTCTATACGTACATGCCATAACGTCATCGAAATAATAATTAATTCTTCGCTTTGATTGGCTTACTCAACATTCATTATGTTTTCTGTTATTATGCCTTAGACACTACGACAATTCGTCCAGAGTTGCATTTGAAACACCACTTACCGGTTATAATTGGAATAATAATTGGAGCTATTCTTGTTGCTACAATATCGTCTGTCCTCTGTTGCTGTTACAAACGACGCCGCGACATAAAGCGCTGGAAAAAAGAGGAAGATCGACAGAGTAAGTTTTATTCCAACAAAAACTAACTCGAATGTAATAAAAACTTGATCTTCGATATATCGTTTTCTCAACGGAGTCTCTCAAGTCATTTCTACGAGTATTCGTATACGTACAATAGTCTAATATGTTATGGTAACTGCGTCACTATTCAAGGCACGATATACATTTTGATCCACGTGATCGTAACAGACATGACACTCTTGTTCGGAAACCTATTTTATGTGTTCTTTTTTTGTAGCACTGATTGAACTACAAAGTTATAAAATACCATCTACATGGGACATGACAGAAAATGGCACGCGTGCCGTAGTGCCATTTACATCAGATGAATACATGTCAATTTATACCAGATTCGATAAAGTGATGAAGAAGAACTATACGCAAATCATACAAATCGAACGAGTGCAGAACGAGCGATGGTATAAGCAATATACAGCACATAGTGAAGATTTTCAAAAACGCCTTGGCAGAAATACTGAAAAACAACTTTATCATGGATGTACTCAGGAAGCAGCCAACTCAATTATCGACAGTTGCTTCAACCGAAGTTTTGCCGGAGTGAATGGTAAGTTTGATTGATAGCTTGCTACAAGTTTTTATACGCTTTTGCTTCTTTATGTAGGAGTTGTTTATGGGGTAGGTGTATATTTTTCAACGGATGCAACTTATAGCCATAACTACGCTATACCAAATCCAAACGGAGAAAGATGCATGTTTGTAGCACGTGTCTTGGTTGGCAATACTATTTTTGGTAATAGTTCGATGAAAACACCACCCGACAACTATGATTCAACCACGGATAATAAGCACATATTTGTTACCTATCATGATGCTCAGGCGTTAGCGGAATATTTAATTACGTACAAGTAGAAATTGACCAGTATTTGAGTGGGATTTGATGTCATTCGTGCAGGAGATCAATTAAAGTTCCTTAAAAATCGTTTGTTCTTACAAATTATAGAGAGTGAGGGTGAGGATGGATGTCAATGAATACGAGATATACATCGCACTTACACCAGCTTAACCTCACTCGAGATAGAATAGTGACTATGGATACAAAGATGAACATCAATTAAATTGATAGAATGGATGAAATAATTACAAATAGAGATGAAGCTACTGTCTCCACACCAGTATTTATCGAACGAACATAATCGTTCATTGTAATTAAAATTCGACAGCAAAATGTCCGATCTATATAATATCTACTCGAAAACGATCAGCGGCATACAGGGTGTTTCGACAACGGAATTCATATACATCGCATTCATTAAACACTAGTACATCATAATCTGCTGTATCGGGTCTATCAAATCACTGTTGCCGATCGTTACATATATTTCGCTAGCCGAGACAAAATAGAGTGTACTTGCGTTCTAATCTGTCATAGCGTAACGTATCTTCATGTTCTTGACTTCTATACTAGAGTTCTATGTTCCCGGAAGAAATTATCTTGTAATTGCATCTGTTAATCTTTTGTTGAAGATGCGGAATCGATATACCTGCATTTTTTCGAAAGCTCTGACACAAACGTGGAACACCGAGATTCTTCAAGAATTTAGTTTTCAAATCCGTGCCCGCCTAAGTGCAGTATGATGAGCGTCTGAACGGAAATAATACACTTTGTAAATATATGAAAGCAAATAGTAACTTGAAATGATAGTTTCAGTGAGAATGTAGAACAAATAACCATATTAATTGTGTTTTTCACTGTAGAGAAGAATTCTCTAACATCTATCCCATGATCACATATTAGAACGAGAGTACGTTTGATGCTCGTAAGAAACAACGAAATAATAAAAGAATGGTTGCTTTTCATCATCCGGAGTATAATGTTGTGATTGATCCATTCTTTTCAATTGTTATTGGTTTGTTAGACTATACTTCGTCTTGTGCTCGGTTAAACTCATGAAGGCAAACATCATTGAGCTTAGTCGTGATGCATCTAACAAGAATGTGGTAACTATAGTTGACAAACTTAGTTCATATCGACGGTAATGTTAAAAGTGTGCGCATATTACCTATAGTTGATGAAGGAAGTCGTGCAGACTAAAATGGATAAAAAATATTCTATTTTGTTTGTTATGAATGGTAGTTTACAGTACTGATATAACTATATGTTCATCATTGAGAAGGAAAGAAGCGTGACAGTTTCAACCATAACGAATCATTAGCGTACGTGTTTGGTGTATTTTGGATTACCTTCAAGATTGTGAAAACATTGCTAAGTTTACACATATAAAATACTCAACTTCACTTTGCTTTGATATTTGTGCCATGATCTACACCAGAAATGGGACTTTCAAAATAGAAAACATAAATTTAGACACGAAGTGCATAGTTCTCGACAGAGGGAGCATTCATTGTAATACATTTCTTGAAGACATGCACAGCACTTTCTTTTACTGAAAAGTTTTCAAAAGAATAGACAATATATCTGTGCTACGTGTATTAAACTATAAGTTGAAGTGCTTACTACCACATGCACACAGTTATTTCACTCAAAGAATTAAGAAAAATCAAAAAAGTTAATGCAACAATTATAGTCCATTGTAAATTGACTGTATTTCAATTTTCTATAATTCACTTATAATAATATATTCATATGTCTTAAAAATTCTCGTTTATGATTTCGCCAGGGAGTGGATAAGACTAGTCGCTCCACTTGCATTTGATACATCTATTGTTAACTGTTCGAAAAACTTTGAAGAAGATTTTCTCTGCAAGCCTTTCTGTATCTTCGACCTCATCCTCAAAATTCAGTGAAATTGTCATCGTTACACTTGCTAAGTCAGGTATTAAATCCTTTGCTTCGAAACAACAATTGTATGAAGCATTGAAAAAGCAAACTCATTGTCGATTTCTCAAATCTCATTTACCTACTGATACACTGGTTTGTTCAAGAAAAACGAAGTACATATTAGTTATTCGAGATGAGCGTGATGTTGCATGTATTTAATACCATCACCTTAACAATCTTATACATAGCATAGCGGCTTTGAAAAACCACAATCAATTAATAGAATATTCTAAAACCGTATACTGAATCAATCGAAGCTTCATTGTTTGCCTATATATGCTCATACTGAAACACATACCAATTACTTAATGTCTCACTATGGTCCATTATAATGAATTTAGGAGAGATTTGTTAAGTAATTCTTTTTATCACATGAAAGATAATACTAAACATTTTATTCAAGATGATTATTTTCTTGATGTGAAGATACAACTAATCAATGGACAGATATTTTAACCAAAGACGAATTGCAAAGTTATAAAACACGAGTTGTAGAAGAACTCGGTGAACAGTGCAATCAATGGCGTCACACTAGACAACTATCGAATATCAGTTATGAAATTTACTGTTTATTGATTCGAGAATTGTATAACATTGCTGTTCTTCATCTGCATTGAAATTCTCGATTTGCGAGTGAAAATATTTGCATTTGAAAGATTTTGTGAGATAAGCATACCTACCAACACAAAGAATGTTGGTGAGGATTGTCAATTTCAGGTTAAATCTGCTTAAAATACGTTAATGAACTGAACAGTAATTTCATACTTATTTATTCTCAGACTCACATCTTCATTCTCACACATTTCCAAATTTACTTTTTTCTCTCTCGTCATGGTGATGACTAACAAAAAAACAAAATCATAACTTCAGTTTTACTCTTCCAGCGTAACTTATTTGTTCGGAAAACATAGTCAAAATCATAAAACTATTTATTGAAGTTGTTCGCCAATTTCACATTTACCGGAAAAGAAAATCACTCCAATGTTTCGGCATCGCTCATTGTCCTGATTTCATATTCAGTTCCTTTCATTTTTATGTTGTAACTCATCGCTTGCAAATGACATCGGACAAATTGCACTGATTTCGATTGTTTTGGAACAATACAAATAGCTGTCAGTTTTCTTATGCAAGAGCTAAATAACAAATGAATCATTTGTTGATTTCATGATTTCAATGCCTGATAAGAAGAAAAACAGTATTCCGCTTTTTTTGTAAAATAAGAAATATGAAACAAACGGAAATGATGATTCGATTTCTACTACTCAACATTCGCCGGTTTACGCATGAGAGTGGAAAGATGATTTTGCAAAAAAAAACTTCATTTCCCGCAATAAACATCATCACTAAAAGGATACGAATGTTTTTCTCAAAATATTTTCAAACATTATTGTTAGATTCTTAAAAGAATAAAAGATGTCTTTTTAGGTCATATGAATTTAATTGCTATTGGTCGACGGTTTTGTGGATTTATGATAATCATAGCGTTGAATTTTATTCTGATCGTCTACTTGACGCTCATTGTCACACATTCCCATGTGAATATCATCTCGTATTTTAACAATTTCCAATTGGAAACATCACACGGGGAATTACTAAATACATCTTTTCGGCAGATAGGCAATGTTATTTGGACTCATGATGGTTCCGGCTTGATGAAATATATTCAATGGATTGTTAGTCGAAAATTAAGTAATGTGAAAATTCTTCGTCTGAATATCAATTGTTACATCACTAATCAATCGTATTTCTCATTGGCTTCAACGAGTGAAAAACTTCTTCAGATACACATTGTTTCACTTACAACTGATTCGAAATGTTCAGCAGAAATTAGCCATATGATAGATGTTCATCACAGTATTTATTTTATAAGAAAATCTATTTTAGCAATGCTTTTATATCAAGATTTAGACTCGACGGGAAATTCGAATGTTTTAAATTTACATGAACGAATTGAACAAGCGAGAAAAGTCATAAAAACTATTTCGAATCACACAGAATTGAAAGTGATTTATGCAGAAGACTTGATTCATGTGAATTTGACTAACTGCGAGAGTCTACTGAAGACTTTTCTCTCAATATTAGGCTATCAAACGTCCACAAATCAGTTGAAATCTATCATAGAATATGATTCTCATCAGTTTATCCAAGATGCAACATGGTGGGATCAATCTGAAGTTGCTGAACGTCTTCTTACTAATTCAATTCCGTCTCGCTCATCAAATCTCACATATTCAACCGATTTTTATCATCTACACGGTAATCGTACATTTGCCGAATATTTATTAGATAATCGCAAATGCTACAACGATGGTACATTTGCTCAAATGCAATCAGAAACAATGAACAATCGGTCTTCGGTCGACAAACCTGACCGTTGTTTATCAAAGTCATTTGATTGTAAATTTAGTGATATTTATTCATTTGATGACAGAGAACAACTGTACAAACGTAATAATCGAAACCCAGTCAAATGTGGTTTTGCGATTCCATCAATATTTGATACAATTAGAAAGCGGTATGGTCGGAATGAAAAGTGTCATGTAATTATTTTCACAGTTATCACTAACTGCTATGATCATTTACCGGAAATACACGGAAGGATCTTAGCTTCATTTTGTTGTGTCGCTCTGCTAGATGCACAGACTATTCGGGTACACAGAAATCTTACTCGGACTAAATCTGCTTATATTTGGAATATAATCGATTTAGGGAATGAAGCAACACCCTTCGTTGTGTCTGCGAAGTCAACAGAAACGTTGAAAACTCTTGGACAACGAATGTTTCCATTAGCAAAATGGATTATCTGGTTGGACGGGAAAGCACATATTAAAAATATTCAGGAATTATTAACACAAGCACGATCTCCGATGATTGGCGCTCGTCATCCTGATGAAAGACGTACGTCGGCCTCTGAAGTCGAGCCGACCATAATTCATTTACGTGGAAGAGAAAAATTGTTATCAAATCGTCTTAACGAGACTTTGTTTGACATAAAACTTCAAGAAAACGAGTATCAACGTGAAGGGTTTTATTCTCGCTTGGATCTTCTCAAATTGAAAATGTTTGACATCGCGGTATTTTTACATCGAAATAATCATCCATGTACTTTTCGACAGCTGTGTGAATGGCATAATGAGGTGAATTATTTTTCATTTCGAGGACAATTATCCACCTTTTATCCAGCTGTTCGACTACATCTAACGCAATATTTACAGTTTTTACCAGAAGAGTTCTATTCAACTTTTGGGCATCGATCTGTTTGCTGAAGTTTTACAACTCTCGACTTGTTAATTCATAGACGTTCCAGAAAATGTTTGAGAAAATAATGCAAATATGTCATTCAAAATGCTTCCTGTGCGTTTTTGTTGTAAATTCTTAAATGGTCAATGAATTTTAGAAGAAAAAACAATTAATGAGCTCTTTTCGAAATCAAGAGTAGATATATAACATGTAGGATATCTTGGACACGGATTCGCACACGAGTGTATTTCAACTCTGATCACGTTTGTTCCAGGTGAAACTCGGTGAGTTCCATCTATTCCAATCATAAAAAAATTGAGGGTAATGTGATCAAAGTTGGAATACAGTCGTGTGCAAATCTGTTCAAGAAAAGGTCGAATCCGTGTCCAAGATATCCTACATAATATTCATTCGTATATTTTATTAAAGAAGCACAAAAAATGTCTGTTTGATGAAATTTTTCGTATGAATTTTAAAATTCACTTATGTGTTTTTTCCATTGAGGATGAAGTTTCATATGTCATGTCTAATCTAGGAAGAAAGAAAACTCTGTTATATTCAACCAAAGATTTATTATGAGTATGTCTGTCGGGCTCTGGAGTGATATACATAAAAAAGAACCAAGAGAAGAAATCATCCCCGTACACTGTATCGAACGCACACATCGAAAAAAGAATAAGCAAAAGAGAAAGAGGAATGCATACAGACGCGATATGATAGAGAGAAGCGAGCAAAACAATAGCGACGACGCTCGTCATCGTTAACATTTAGCAAACATCATAAAAATTTGTGTACAAAGTGAGTCAAGAGACATCATATCTCATAGACTACAATATATTTTCGATGACATGCATTCATTGTTCATATACATATATAATATGGATGTGTATATTGTTTTCGATTACAAGCACACTCTCAACATATCAATATATCATTGCGTTCATGATCATTTTAAAGCTCTTCAGAAGTATCGATCTGTTCATTGTATTCTTTTGATTTTGAATAATACTTCCGTTTGTTGAGATCATTCTCTTTTCCATATCGTATTTTAAGAAATGTATTCGCATCAGCAGCATTCAATAGCCAATTTTCGTTTGAGATAATTTTCGAATTCGATTTCTTTTGATCAACAAATGATTGACTAAATCCACTTAGAACACATATAATTAAAAGGAATTGGCTAAATGATAATGTCATGATTAGAAATATTGAAATTTATAATGATATATATAATCACTACAGGATAGTTGCTCTTGTTAACTATGTTACTTTTATGTTATATCTTAATACAAGACGTTGTTCGATAAAAACACTTATTACGTAAAAATATGTGCAGGCTGCAAATAGGTCATATGTTTTATATGAGTGTTTTATCACGATAAAATGATTACTCATACTATTCGAAAGATTGTTTTTATGAATGTGAAGATTCGGCAGAATTTTCTCGAAGAAAATCCTCTACCTGAATAGTATAGACTCTATGCAGGAAAAAAAACTATGCTTCATATACATATTTTCATCACGTGTTGCATTTTGTTACATAGTGACATCATTTCATCTATACTTTCTTACGTTATACAGACGTACAATAGTTCACATATAATTCAAAGGCTTTTCTTTCTTTTTCTTATTCTTTCCATGTGTCATCTTTGTTACGTTGGTAACATTTCTTTACTCACCCTTATAAACTGACTATTTGCAAATAATAAAGGACATCCTTTCAGTTCGTGATTTTCTTTAAAAAATATTTCGGATAATGTTATATCTTATACACATGGAATGATTAAAATCTCAGTTTTAATTAAAAACCAAAATAAAACAACATATTTGATTCTATCTCCATGATTTGAACTTATGATTAAAACACAGGTGTAACGATAATGATATCGTTCATCTCTTTCTGTTCTTTATCCTCTCACCTCTATATCATACTATCTCCGGGTCATATCTCTTTTTCCTCTTCTCTATATAAGCGCGTGTCTTATTGTGAAAGAGATACATTCTGGTCATGTAGAGTAGTCAATAAACATCGATACCGTGAGAAGCGGTCAGCTACTCAACCAGTTTGTCATTACA